AAATCGAGCTCGTTTTCGTTTGTTTATATCTATTTCTACTATCTTAACTACCACTGAGTGACCAAGTGCTAACCACTGCTTATTTTTTTCACCCATCCCGTACAAGTGTTGCCGGATTTAGAAGCGGCCACGTACGCGTCCCCTCGCGTCGTGTCGTGAGTCAGGCGAATAACGGCGTTTGTGATTAATGCAAGCTATTCCTGGATGGATCCTTCACTCGTTACTCGCCTTTTGTTGCCTTCCAATGCTTGTAAACTGACTGCCTACTGTAACCGCTGGCTAAGTTCACACGCGAACACCTGTGTCTTGAAAAACTTTTCCGACTTACGTACAAATTACTTCGACCACGATTTTTATGGCAACAATTTTCTTTTATGAGTCATCAATCAGTCAATATCTGTGTTGGGCATGCGTTTTTTTTTTAAGTTGGGAATATTACCTATCTGTCTTCTTAAGAATATTTTGTTTTCTTATTTCTACCACGCTAATAGCTTCTGAATTCCTTATAACTTACATTTTATATTTATATACTCCTGGACACATCAATCGGTCCACCTAACATTTTAAGTATTGGCCTATATGGTTTTGACTTCCCTAGCTCAAAATATTTATTTTTAACATTTGTTACATTGAGCAAAAAGTTTTTACGCAGTTTTGAAGATGATTTAATAAAACTTAACCATCTTATTCGAGTGTTTAAAAAATCAACCTAAGTTAATTATATTTTTGCTACAGACCGTTGAAACTCATAACACTAAGTTGGCCGACAAATAGTTGGTTATAAAGCTAAAAACATAAATTTGATACATCGTGCGAGGTGTTAAATACCTGCTAACTAATGATGAATAGTCAAATTTCTCGAAACCCTGAAACCTTTTAACACTCAAAGGATTACTCTATAGTCCCCTGTGAAGGGTTGCTATTAAATAGCCCACATACAACAGAGTACGTAGATGTGTATACGTAGCTACATAGGTGTGACGCCAACAAACTTTTAATGATTTCTAAAATTTTCGTTAGTGCAACTGTTACAAGCATTTTTATGACTTTACTGCAACCAGAAACAGACCCACGTTAATTAAATCTTTACAGTTTCAATAACTACGTCGTTAATTCTTTACAATTCTATTATTTTGACCGAAATGAGGTTCGTCTAGTAGCTGAATGAATATCAATGAAAAAACTAAAATTAGGTATTAATAAATAAAGATTTATATGACTGTACTACACCCACCCAAAATAAAGTTTGTAAATAATGAAGTTAGTACTTTACATAATAATCCATTTATATAATAGCATGTAAAATATACATACATAAATGACAATTGAGAACCAAGTTCTCATAAAATTTGAACTATATGGACAATATTGTGAACATTTACATCAAATAGAATCTGTGAAGTACCCAGTTCGATAAACTTGCAGTGAGTGGATACTGTGGTTAGAATCAGCTGTTTGCATGTCAGTTTGAGTGTAACATCGAACATTGTGGATTATGAACTGAACTGGCACCGATGATTCATTGTCCGACTGTTGAAAAGTGAAGCCGTCAGAATGCCGTCTAGAAACGTGTGTAAGGACAGGCGTGAGTACCGTCGAGTTTATTCAATAACCTTTTCAACGAACTAGGGATTTGTGAAATAAGCCAGTCTGTATTTCAAGTACCTAGTCAAATACATTTTGATTTTAGAATTTAATCTTATGTGTGATATTATTTTTTGTTGATTCTAATGTTATGAAGTTTATCATTAATGTGAGGGAAAGCTACCATTTAAGTATTTTTCTATAGGCAAATAAAGATTGCTGCTAATAGTGAATTTTGATGAGAATGATTTTTTCATCCCACCACCTCGGAAAGTGTAATTTTGCGCTTCGAAATCTGGCTGGAAAATTCTATTTTATTCGCTTGAGCGGCAAAGTAGATTTGAATTTAGAACATCACATATAATGAGTACTCAATATAATTGTAAATTCAAAACGTCATTAAACCTATTTAATGTAACCTCTATGGTGCCAAATTTATGATTAGAACTTTTTAAATTGTGAAAAAATTTAAATTTGGAACCTTCTTGGTTTCTTTGTTTTATTTGCGTGCTTCGCGCCATTCTAGTTTTTCACGTTTTATTGCTTAAATATTTTGTCATTATAAATTGTTTTCTTTTTCATTTTGTCATTTCCTCGCTGAGGTGGGATGAAAAGTTACGTATTGCACTCGAGTGGAAAGATTTTTCACCTTGTGCTCGTTTGTTTCCCTCGCTGACGCTCAGGATTCTAATTTAGAATCACTCGCTGCGCTCGTGATTCAACTTTAGAATCCTTCGCTTGCTCGGTCATCCAAATCGAGCACGCGGTTAAAAAGGAACTTTCCACTCTTGTATAATAAATAACTATGGATTAATGCAATTGTAATCTTTTTAGAAAACATCGCTAATGACGCTTTCAACTGCAGTATTAAAGAAATACAGTTTAAAAGACGTAACAGTGATTTTAAATATACTTGTTTCACCATGGTTTTATATGTTTTGTAATTATGAATTGGGTGAATTGAGTGAAGTTATTTGCATAGTTGCTATCGCAGATTTGTAAATTTTTAACTTATATTAAATGATAATAATTTCTGGACCTGGCTCCAATGTCGGTAACAGGTGGAGAAATTTATAATATTTTCCCAACACCCAGGATAACATGAAAAACTAAATAAAAAGATTATTGCATATGGTGTAATTTTAATGAACTTCTCTGCGCAATCTATACGTAAGATCGTACGTAGTTATTGACTTACAAATATCCAAAAATTTCGAATCATACACTGGTCATTCGAAGACGATCTATTTAGACTTCGGCAATATAATAATTCCAATACTTTCGTACGTGTTATGAAGCAGAAATCATTTATAAAATTGACTTTTCCAGGATCCGAAAGTATTCCAACATTATCGTCAACAGAGATATCCAATGACAAACCTGAAGAAAATCAATTAATCTATCGCGTAGGCGTGGCTTTATGTACGACATCGGCTTAACACCGATCGTGTCGAATCACGGTCGCTTCAATCCGAAATATTGCGACCTAATCCCCATATGGCTGATTGGCTCAGCCCCAAACCCTTCAAGGGATAAACTGAACCACATAGAATCGTAAATAGGATTGGGTGCATTATTCATTAACGTATCAGGGTTTGGTTGGGGAGTTTTTAATTAATAAACGCTGACTAATTCCAGGCGGACGATAGTAGTGTAACTATTCATAATGCTATACATACTTGTGTCATAAATGCCAAAGTAATTTTGTTTGTAGCAGACAAAGCTTTTTCATGACTAATCATGTGAATCAGTTTTGATGAAATTTGTACTACAATTAAAGGGATGCGTATTCCACGCAGAAATAGTTACGGGCACCACTAGCTTGGTATAAACGGAAGTGTTAGTGGTTTGAGGTCTGCTGAACTATTAGCAGTGTGTAAATAATGTATAGAAGAACGTATCATAAAATTTATTTATCGTAATGTTCACTTATACGAACTTAGCAGCGGCATTGTCACTCTATGTGTAAATATGCTGAAATGGATCCTGTTTTGCCACTATAATTATTGGCGCGTTTAGTTTTACTATCACAGTTAAAAGTATTTGATGGTTGCTATCCGCATAATCAGCCACTGTCATGGTAGATTTACAATAAACATTAGCCACATCCAATTTTAGCCTCATAATAAGCTCCTATCTCTTTCTAGACATGTACGCGACTGGATTGACACGAAACTGGGCTCATGGCAGATTTACATTGCTTCAGTAGCTGGCGCCAATATTGTTGACATGCCAACAACACTATTTTCGTACCAGTCCAGCCACACAATGCACATATTAAACTAATTGGATCCTATATTGTTTTAAACTTCCATGGTCACTAAAACAATAGTAATTTATAACCGCCATGATCACCGAGTAATTTTACTCCGTGATCCCATACAATGACCGACCATTCCAAAATTTGCTTAACCTTCACGATCGTAGGCCGAATGCGCTAACTACCTGCATCATCGAGCTCCTCCCTCCCAAAACAATTGGATACTGCTGCTGTATCGATGTAATTTTGTCATTACAATAAACTTATTACTTAGCGATGCTGAAATTGGCGTCAACTCCTGTATCAGAAGTTAAATACAATTGAAACGAAAATCCCAAGTAAATAATATTAATCTCGATATTTTAATACTAATTAATAGAAACAACATTCTCACTTTTCAACAAGATTTGTCATAAGCGTTAGATACTAAGCTCGTGTAAACTTCACATTGTAATTACGCTTAATCTTGTCCCTTTGGTATGCCATACCGACACAAGCTAGAGGATTTCAACACCCCTACCGCGTCGGATGTTAGGCTTGCGGTTTTGTGGGTCTGACTGGTGTTACGTAAAACTGCGGTTTTGCTGTTGCAACAGCGACCCCGGCTTGCTGGATACGATGCATGCACACTGATTTCACAGACAATAAAACGTTGTTTTATGGGACTGTATATTAGATTACTATCGACTTCATTTTCTCAATCGAAAATTGGACCTCGAATTATCTCATTCTTTATTTTAGTGTAATTTGATGTTAAATCTTATCCGTCTGGTCGATTTAGTAAATATCCTATATCGATTCTCTCATTGAAAGTCGTGTAAACCACATATAATTTGATCGTCCTATGACCAGCCTTTGCGAAAGTTGCTGAACTTTCACGATATTAGACTAAATGCGCTAACCATCTCAAGTCTAACCTTATTCTTCTTTTATTCATATGTTGGTCTACATGAGACCTTTTTTTTATATCTCCTTGTCAGCTGGACCCAAATCCAGCTCCATGTTTCTCTAATAACTTTACTGGGTCCAGGAAGACTTCAATTAGGTTTTTTTGATTCCAATTTTCTAGGAATACGAATCTTTTGTGTTAGTTTACATACATAAGTATGTACAACTATTTGAGTGTTTTATTAAATTTTTATTATTTTTGTATCGTAGGTCCGCGCCATGGAGCAGCGGCTGTGCGAGTGGCCGGCGGGCACAGATGGTGCGCCTAGAGCCATCACGCGACTCGAGGGCCAAATAGAAGAACAGGTAAGTAATGTAGCATGAATATTGTTACTTTTGTTTATTTTATGAGCAATCATATACGTTATATTGCTACTATAAAATATTTTATGGGCAAACATATACAGGCGTCCCACTGCCATACCACACGGAAGGAAAGTATATTAAATATTGAAGATAGGATATTTCTGAAAGAAGACATCTATTTATTTTTAATAATAAGTAGAACTGTATACACAGTTTTTTTTAAATCACCTGCTACAAATGGGAAAATATCCTTTCTTCAATATTTAATATACTTTCCCTCCGCCTGACATACCCGTGGGACGCTCTGTGTACGCCCGAATAATGTTAACAGCGGCGTACTCGAAAGGCGGACATATTTATTTATAAATTAGATTAATGAATAAAATTGGCAATTAAATAGTTTTTCCTTCTTTCGCAAACATAACCTACTTATTGAGTACAACGTTTTTAAAAGAGTAAAATAATATAATAAAATTAGTCATTAGTAAATTAGTTATCTTGAAATGTTTTATACATATCGACCCACAGTCATAGGATTTCTTTGTTAGTTCAGTGTTGTCATAACACGCGCCTAATCGTTTTAATTGTGTAGCACGTACTTCGTTTATTCCAATTTAGTCGAGTATACACCCCGGCAAAAACAAAAAGAGAAGATACGGAACGCTCATATTAGCATCAAATAAAATATGCTCCGACTCAACTACATAAGCAACTCACACAAATGCACATGCCTGTAAATAAACATTCAATCGAGCGAGCGAGACACAACTGTACGCTTCAACGCAGAGCGCGAGCGAAACGGCGACTCGGCGTCCGAGTCTGCACGGTTGAGCTGTATTGGGGTCCTTTTCTTGATAACAAATTATTACGCGACACATATTATGGGCGATTACGTAAATAACATTCACGACAAACCGTAATTATTTAAAATAATGTTTTTACAGTTACATCCCTTTTTGTTTTAATCATAGGCGCCTCGCGCACTACACTGTCATGACCAAGACCAGTGACTACCACGACTATATTAACTATAGGAACCATTCGAACGTCACGCACTTGGCCACAACGGCCAACCTTAGTTAATCTGATCGTTGTGGCCACTGGTCGTGGTCTAGTGCGCGAGGTGCCTAAGTGCACAGCAGACGTTTTTGTATTAAAAATTTCTTCTGCGCAGGCTTCCCTGTCGGTAAGTTTATTTGTCTGTAGTGTTGGTCAAGAAGTTTGCCGCTACCTATACTAATAGTAAAAAACTTATTTCAGAAACAGCTAAGACTCCAGGACGCGAAGCAGGTGGAAGCGAAAGCGGCCCGCATCAAAGAGTGGGTGACGAATAAGCTGCGAGAGCTGGAGCAGCAGAACCAGCTGCTGCGGGAACAAAACGACCGCTGCAACCAGCAGCTGGAGTTACTCCGGAACCATATAGCCGCTCAGGGCAGCAGAAACTGTGCTGTTAGTGCTGTAAGTGTAAAGTAATAAATAAGGAATAAACTCAGACTAGTTACGGCGTGTTTTGTTCATATAATGTAATGCAATGAATAAGGACAAAACATGGAGTAACGAAGCCAAGCTTCTCCCATTTTTTTTATTAATAAGGAGGATACGGTCTTACTACAAAAATGTCAGATACGGTTTCAAAGCTCGTTTAGGGAAAAATTGTATGCTTTTTTCTTAAACTCGTGTTGAACGCATATCTAACATTTGTGGTTATAATTATATTTTTACACAACTTCCTGATAAAACAAGGAGGTAATCGTTAAAAGATTCCTCATCATATGCTAGGTCACTAATGCTATTATAACATTAACTGTAATAAGTTTTGATTTTAATAATAAACCAAGATTCGAATAAAGGGCATATACTCGATTGAAAAAATGAAACAGATAAATTTAACAGAAACAATGAAGTTAATGAGATAGATGTTAAAAAAAGTACTATTCTCTGAAACATACTTATTAAGAATTGAACATTGAAAAAGAATAGTAACAAAATAACAAAAGAAATACCTAAGTAATGTACTCGTAGTTGATAGGATATTTATAATTATTATAATGTCACCTTGTTCTACTAGTCTCCCCTATCAGAGCAATTGTTCCCCAGTTCCTACCGACCAGAGCGAGCCTCTCCCTTGAAGTGAGGACTGAAGAAGGCTCTCCTCGCTCAGCGACCAGCCTCTTGGCCACAAACCGGAGGCGGTCGGAGAGCCTTGAGGGGCCACAGGTAGCCACCAAACGCTTTAGGCCACTTTAAAATTGTTACACTTCTTAGATTCGCACTGTCTTTTTTATTTCCCCATTTTTTACGGATACAAGTTATTCTGGAGACATGTTAAAGTATAATTTAATGTCTTGATTCTTGACTTTATGTTTCTCTTTTTCCATTGACATTTGGACATATCAATTTGTTTCATTTGTTATATTTGCACTGTCTTTTTTTATTGTCCCATTTTTTATAGACACAAACATGTTGATATTCTTTGCTCTTAATTCTTGACTTTGTGTTGCATTTTTTCCAATGCCATTTTGGTGTATTCAGTTTTATTAAATGTTGCAATACCTACTATCACCTTTTTGGGTTTGTCATTTTTTATGGATTTGTTTCATTATACATATCTTATGTAACATTGTAAGAAATATCTGCCATAATTATTAAATACTTCACTTATTGCCACTGTTAAGCTTTTGTATTGTCAACTTACAGTTTTCGAAATAGGCAGAAGAAAACTTACAAAAGTTACCAGTAAACTCAACTTAAAAAATAACTTGTTAAGTAAATCAATCTGAGAAAATGTCTGAGACTTATAAGAAAACTACAGTAAGTTGGAAATGCAATGCTAAAGTTTTGATATATCGACAGCTACCCATAACCTCATCGGAGCCGCACTACAGCACACCAGTGCGGCATCGGAGGAACCTGTCCATTGGTACTACGAACTTGGCAACCACCAGTCAAGCACAAACGCTCACCACGATGAATAGGACAATGGATGAGAGGACGACTGCAAGTCTTCTAGCCGACGACTTAGCGGTAACTAATCTTAATACTACCAGCATAGGAACCGGTTCGTCCATGTGCATTACTAACCTTGTCACCCCCAGGCAAGCACAAACACTCATCACAATGAATAGGACAATAGGTAAGAGGACGACAGCAAGCCTTCTAGCTGACAACTTAGCGGTGATTAATCTTAACATAGCAGCACAAGAATTTATCCATTGGCATTATGAACCTAGCCACCACCAGTAGAGCACAAACACTCATCACAATGAATAGGATAATGGATGAGAGGACAACAGCCAGCCTGATAGCTGACGATTTAGTGGTAACTAACTTGAATAACTATCAGTAAACTAAAACTGCTTATTTCCAGACTTGGTCTGTTTACATTTGGGATCGTTTGAATAGTCATCATGCATAAAAGGACCAATTTCGCTACCTAAAAACTTAGCAGTAAATTACCTAGTACTTCTATTATAAACAAAAACTTTTGTTTTAAGATTTGTTCTGTATGAATCTTGGGATCATAGCATTACGTATTGAGTATCTACTTATTCAAAACTGCTTTGTTTCACGACTTTGTCTGTGTAAACTTTGGGATCATAGCTTCACGTCTTGAGAGGTAAATAATAAGCTTAAGATTTAACAACTCTATCATATACACCATCCTTTTAAGGTACATCTGTGCTACTAAATATAGTTCAATATAATTATGCATTTTATTATTTACAGACGGCTGTTGAGAACCTGGTGGTGCTACCAACTACACCAAATACGTCGACCGATGGCGACACGACGCATGACTATGCTGAAATTTACACACCAAGTAGAGGTAGTGTACACAGTTTATTTATTTATTATATTCAGGAAATTTGTGGGAAAAAGGTATTTTAATTATTATTACAGTTTGGATCTAATAGCTTGTCCATAATAAAATTTTAAATCTGTTTCAAAATAATTTCGTTTCACATATGTATGTTCTTCTCATGTGGCTATATCTACAGTCTCCAATAAGGATACTTCTTTAGGCAAGTGCTCCTATGTTTAGCGACGAGGATACGAAAGGTTGGTTTTACATTCTATAATTATTTAGGTCCGTACGAAGCCCACTGATGATCATAGACCACCCGCAAGGATCTCCCCACCAATCAGTCCTGTGCCACTCGCGTCAATCGGCTTCCCGCGACCTTCACCAGATCATCGGTTTACCAATTGGTCTATTCGCTTACTTTTGACAGATGGAAGTGATAATCACCGAGCTGTTTAGTGATCCACTATACTGCTTTATTATACCGCCACTATGACAGTTGTTCTGAAAAGCATCGATGGATACAAAATTTTCTCTTTAGTTACACTCATTCTCTGGTACAAAATTCGCCCGGTGCGCGGTCATCATTCGGAAAATATTCAACCACAACGGCCATCATTTCTTCTCATTACGTATTCCACCTATTGCCCCTAATGATAATCATCTTAAAGAATAGACGTCGTAGTCCAGGGAGGGAACAGTCGCAACTATGAACGTCTACACTGTCATACAATATACGACTTTAGTACCATGCAAAGAGGCTTAGAATAATATTTGGTTTCTAGAACATCACGATCATGCAATACTTGGCTTACAATAACAATTTCACTTCTAGAACGAACGCCAGCGTGGCAAGGCACTGTCAACGTCGTAGTCCAGGGAGGGAACAGTAGAGGGGGCTCGTCGACTGGAGACAGCTCCACGTCGGAACAACCGAGACCACCCACGCCTCCCCTACACAGGTTCCCCAGCTGGGAAGCCAAAATATATCAGGTAATCCTTACCATGCCAAACGTAATGTTAAAATATTTTGACTGATAGGTTTATCTATTGGTCAAAAAGTTGTCGATGTCTGTTAATCTTCCAGGACGCTGTATCATCATCACCAGTCTTATTAATGTCCCCACTGCTGGGGTACAAACCTACACTATGGATGTCGGCCATGATCACAACGCGGGCCTTCTGCGGATTGGTGGGTGCTAACAACTGCAGATACAGTCAGGACAAACGTCTTTACGTGCCTTTCGGAGTGCGGAGTTGTTTGAGATAATAAGTTTGTTGGTTACCGATCCAATTTATCGACCATTACGAAAGTTGCCTAACTTCCACGATCGCAGATCGAACGTGCTAACTACCTGCGTCATAAAGCTAGTCGGCAGCTGCATAGTGCAATTTAAAGTTTATGTCGGATGTGAAGTTAGCAGCGAACGTAACTATGCGCAGTTTCAGTTCAGTGATGTCCTGTGCACGTCTACAGCATTTAATTTACTGCACCAATTTGCGCTTACTATTCAGTGACCATTAGGCTTGAATCGCAAGCTATCTCATGAAAGGAATTCACTTGAATATCATCCTTGCAACAGACTTTCACAGAATATACACATAATGAAAACATAATTGGTCATTTCTAAATTCGGAAATAACTGGTATACTGTACCCTTAGTACGAAACCATTATCGAATTCGAATAGTTTGCTAGTTCGAAACGTCAATCTCAAAATTTGGATGGAAACTTGAGCAGCAACGCCACAAAGTACGTAACGAGAACTAAAAATCAGTACACATTTGACAATGACATTTCGGACTCGCAAACGTTATAATTCGATATTGGTTCGTGCTAAGGGTACTAGTGTTTTAGTCTCATTTGATTATGTTTTCACCTTTCAAACTTGTTCACAGGTCGCAGACGACGGTCTACAACAGTCGGTGGAAGGTGAACTGAGTCCTCCCCCGTGTCCAAGGCCCGTACACGAGTCCACCAGCTATCAGGATATCTCCGTCCCTGTCTACGCCACTGTTAAAGGGGTCAGTATCATTGTCGTCATCATATGCCTTTTTGAAAGCACTTGTTCAAAGGTCGCAGACGACGGATTCCAGCAGTCAGTGGAGGGAGAACTGAGTCCACCAGCTATCAGGTTATCTCCGTCCCTGTCTACGCCACTGTTAAAGGGGTCAGTATCATTGTCATCATCATATGTCTTTTTGAAAGCACTTGTTGTAAGGGCGCAGACGACGGACTCCACCCGTCAGTGGAGGGAGAACTGAGTCCACTAGCTATCAGGATATCTCCGTCCCTGTCTACGCCAATGTTAAAGGGGTTAGTATCATTGTCATCATCATATGTCTTTTTGAAAGCACTTGTTGTAAGGGCGCAGACGACGCAGTCAGTGGAGGAAGAACTGAGTCCACCACCTATCAGGATATCTCCGTCCCTGTCTACGCCAATATTAAAAGGGTCAGTATCATTGTCATCATCTGTCTTTTTGAAAGCACTTGTTCAAAAGTCACAGACGACTCTCTCCAGCAATCAGTGGAGGGAGAACTGAGTCCACCAGCTATCAGGATATCTCCGTCCCTGTCTACGCCAATGTTAAAAGAGTCAGTATCATTTTCAGCATCTGTCTTTTTGAGAGCACTTGTTCAAAAGTCGGGTCAGTATAATAGCCACTATCATCTGTATTTTTATTAGCTCTTTAAAGCAGACTACCGTCTACAACAGTCAGTAGCTACTTGGGATGTCTCCGTCCCTGTTTACGCCACTGTTAAAGGCGTCAGTATCATTGTCATCATCATCTGTCTTTTTGAAAGCAGTTCTTCAAAGGTCGCAGTCGACGGCATTCAACAGTCAGTGGAAAGCGAACTGCACTACTATACTATAACGATTACTACGAAAAATTACCTACACACTGCCAGTATGATTGTCATCATATCTTTTTTCAAGGTACTTGTTCAAAGGTTGCAGAATATCTCCGCCCGGTCTACGCCACTGTTAAAGATTGCATGCATGAACAACGGATAATCGTACCTTTCAAAATACGGAAGAACTGGAGATAACAAGTTTTTGGCAACCAATTAAATTTGGCTGACGAAAAACCTAATAATAGTAATTTATTTATTACACGTAAAGCAGTTCACATTACAAAATCGTCCAAAGCCTCCTTTTAGGTAACAGATGTACCTGTGCCAGGAGGCTTTGCTCTTCTATAGTTAATTATTTGTTTATTACACGAAAGTCGATTAACTTCCACGATCGTAAACCAACCAAACTCGAGATAACCACCTGGGCCATTGAGATCCATGTCTCATAATGTCATGTCATAATATGTCATTCATTATTATCTGTTTATTATTGCCCCAAACAGCACAAACACACAATGCACAAATAGCCGTAAACCGCAAATCACAATGCGGTCACTACGCAATGTTTACATTAATATCGGTATAATAAACATCATGATCATTTATATCATTATAATTGCATTGTGATTATCCATCACTTACTGCTCACATGCGTGGTGCAGTCATGCTGACAATAAAGTTATCGCCTATTTCAGAAGATCATTGAATATTCCTATAAAATTAATGTGTGTTCCAGATTTTGATTTACTGATCTACTATATAAAAATAAGTCGGGTTTTCCTTTCTGACGCTATAACTCCAGAACGCACGAACCGATTTCCACGGTTTTGCATTCGTTGGAAAGGTTTCGGGCTCCGTGAGGTTTATAGCAAAGAAAATTCAGGAAAAATTAAAAAAAAAACTTCTTTTAACCACCAAACGAAATGTTACATAAAACGAAGCCATCTGGTGGCGAAACGGAGTTCGCCGGGTTTGCTAGTTTATTTATAAACTTCATTTCTTATTATAATTATTTAACGACCTCCGTGGTTGAGTGGTGTAATAACACCGGTTTTCGAGGTGTCGTCTACTCAGAGGTCCTGGGAAAATGTTTCTAAGTTGAACACGAGCATTTCTACCTAAGTCATGGCTGTTTATATATATTCCTAGACAAATATACGTATCCATATATCACAATTATGTATTTCTATCTCTCTCTGTCTGTTTCTTGTAATTTGTTATTTGGTGGTCATAACAGTAATATGGTACCTATCTGATGCCGCTTCCTATATACTTAATATAAAATGAACTATAAAATGTATTCTAACTATATATCTATATGCTAAATGATGTAATGGAAGGTGACTTCAGAAGTATCTCTAAAGTCATTTTTCAACTTGACGACTCTGTATATAACAATACAGGGAGAAAAAAACAGCCCTTGCTGAGTTTCTTGCCGGTTCTTCTCAGCGCAAGGTCTCCCGCCGTAGTTTTGCCACTGATGGCGTAGCTTCTTGACCTTCACAAGTGCTTGTAACAGCCTAGACTGAATAAATGTTTTTTGATTTTATCCTTGTGTTACATAATACAAGCCTTACAGAGCTTACTATGGGGCTAGGCTTAAAAATGTGAGTGATAGAAATATTCATTTATTTATTGTTTTCTTACAGCGCGCTAGTCAAATAAGGTCAATGCCGTTCACAGGAGACTCATCAGATGATTCTTCCGACGGCGAAGAGTCCATGGGTGTCACCGCACATAACACTCCACACCACAACCCGGTATATGGTAAGTAAAAATATCTAATATATAAAATTCTCGTGTCGCGGTGTTTGTGGTTAAACTCCTCCGAAACGGCTTTCCCGATTCTCATGAAATTTTGTGTGCATATTGGGTAGGTCTGAGAATCGGACAACATCTATTTTTCATCCCTCTAAATGTTAAGGGTAATCCACCCCTAAATATTTTTTTTCAATTTTAGATAATTTTTTTTTATGTTACATCATACAAAAATACATACAACCCTAAATTTTCACCCTTCTACCATCAACCCCTATTTTTTTATGGCGGTACGAAGTTCGCTGGGACAGCTAGTAATATATAAAAATGCGACATGTTTCCATATTTGAGTTTCAAAGGCTATCACACTAATATTATAAAGGCGATAATTTATGAGTGTGTGAGTGTGTATGTTTTTTAGTTTTTCACGTCTAAACGGCTGGAGCGATTTTAATAAAAATTGCTATGGAGTTAGCTGACACCCTGGATTAACACATAGCATACGTTTTACTGCGGGAAAATATCCCTACTAAACCGCGGGTAACACCGCGGGGCACATCTAGTAAAACGTAAACTAAATTGGTTATAGATATTATTTGCCTTTTAGTGAATTCCTATGTAGCATGCAATGTTAATACACAAGCCTGATCTAATTGAGAATGTAATCATCAATATAATTTCCCATAATAATTTTACACTGTTTTTTTTTCGAAAGATAGTGAGAAAACCTATTTCGAAATTATGCCGGTTCGCTGGAATTTCGGACAAAGTTAAAAGCACAGAACAAAAATAATATAATATTTTTACGAATGCGTGTGTCGTATTCTGTCGTTACTGCAAAGAAAGTGGCAGCATCAGCTTCAGTCGTATTTAAACTTTAAATAACGTCTTTGAGTACGAGCGTTCAATTTCATCATCACCTCATACTGTGATTGATAATTTAGTTGATAGTTTGTTAACGATGACCTTCGTGGCCGAGCGGTTTGTACGCCGGGTTTCATGGTATCGCCGACTCGAGAGGGTTCGAATCCCGGTGGGGGCAAATGTTTGTATGATGAATATGAGCGTTTGTACTTCAGTCATGGATATTTAATATGTATTTCTATATAAATATACTTATATATGTACAGTATATGTATTCTATCCGTTACCCTAGTATCCCATAACACAAGCCTACAGTGCTTACTTTGGGGCTAGGCTAATTGGTGTGAGTGTTGGAAATAATAATAATTATTATTATTATTAAATCAATGGATGACAATCCTGCATTGCAAAAATACTTCACTATATTTTTTTACTTCACACACTGCTATTTTATAGACATCTCACTTACCTTCGCATCGCTTTGAATTACACTATACTTTCTATCTATTATCATCGGCGCTAGGTTAGCTGAAGTTCGCCTGATACTTAATCGAATTATTTTTTTTCCATCTAGGTTCGTCCTCAAAAACGGTACTCTCTCACATTGGTGCCCCGTCTTGTGTAACAAAACAGTTGATACGTATTTCAACTTAAAATCATTGTTTAAAGCATTTTGTTTATACTTAATCACATCCTTAGGCGCTCAGACATCTAACCAAATGCCGATGCCGATCAACAACGTGAATCTAACGAGCGTCCTGCCAGCGTCCATACAACAGACGTCGAACCACGCGTTAGTGCTGACAAACAGTGCCAACGGACAATGCAGTTCTTCTGACACGAGTTTGAGTGCCAGCAGTCCTTCGAAGAGTGTCAAAACGAGCTCCAGTTTGAGCCCAGCGAAGAGATCCAGCAGTGGATCGCCTAGTAAACAGAGCAAGACTAGAGGTAATACGCATGACTAGGTATTTTTATTAATTTCAGCATTTTTTCAAGCTTCCATATAGTAGATATCGAACCCCGAGTTAGTGCTGGCTAACAGTGGCAACGGACAATGTAGTTCTTCTGACACGAGTTTGAGTGCCAGCAGTCCTCCGAAGAGTGTCAAAACGAGCTCCAGTTTGAGTCCAGCGAAGAGATCCAGCAGTGGATCGCCTAGTAAACAGAGCAAGACTAGAGGTAATACGCATGACTAGGTATTTTTATTCATTTTAGCGTTTTTCAAGCTTCCATATAATAGATATCGATCCCCGCGTTAGTGCTGGCTAACAGCGCCAACGGACAATGCAGTTCTTCTGACACGAGTTTGAGTGCCAGCAGTCCTTCGAAGAGTGTCAAAACGAGCTCCAGTTTGAGTCCAGCGAAGAGATCCAGCAGTGGATCGCCTAGTAAACAGAGCAAGACTAGAGGCAATACGCATGACTAGGTAATTTTATTCATTTTAGCGTTTTTCAAGCTTCCATATAATAGATATCGAACCCCGCGTTAGTGCTGGCTAACAGCGCCAACGGACAATGCAGTTCTTCTGACACGAGTTTGAGTGTAATATTAGTTTTGATTGTGATCAGTTTAGGAATGATTCAGATTTCAGTAGTTCTCAAAGCTGTTATATTATTTTAAAATTTCATGGTACTATAGAGTTCTACCCAGAATGGATAGAACCTAGGGGCGTAGACGATAATTGAAAAAATACTGATAGAGATAAATTATTTATTTTATTTTATCATTCAGGCGATTATAAAGAATTTTATCTAAATACGAGAGGAAGTTCTTGGTGCCTGAAGATCTAATCTTGAATGGAACCTTCTATCAAAAGACAGACGATTCCTTATTTCAAATCTTAAAATCATGACATTAACTTTTTTTAATATAACTGCCAACCGTAGGCATTGCAAAAGCAAAGAGTTTACCTAAACAAGGAGGTTATAACGTCAAGGACGTTACATCCCTCCGGCACCTCTAAAAAAAAAATTGTTTTGTCATACCAGATGACCGAACAAAATTTTTTTTTCCTACCTACTACATCGAGAGGGTTCGACAGTCCTATCTAAAATCCCTACCTGCTTAAGGACATAAATACAACTGGGAGGTGGCCTTTACTACAGACTAGCCCTCACAATAAGTTTGCAAAACTTGCAAAAAAAAAACTTTACGGGAAAAGAACCCTAACTGTTTGCAAAGTTTTATTGCAAAGACTTTACGGGAGCAAAACCTTAACAAAATCCCTCGTACATCTCCCTCCTAACCTTAACTTTACTTTACTTTACATCGACATCAGTCGGCAAAAACAAAAAAACAAAGCTAACCCTAGCTATACCTTAAATTACCCAAGCAATTTTTTTTTATCCCGTCTATCAGCAAAACTTTACCCTATCCCATTTATTAAACCATTAAATATCAAGAAAATTTATATTTTGAAACTTCATTACTTCCCATACTAAGTAGATGTACGAAACGAAATTCAAACTATTTCCTAAGATTCGTAAACATTAACTGGATTTGAGCAAAACCTAAAAGAATTTATAAATAATGTTTACTTTCGTACATCTTTAATAAAGATACAGACGTGGTCCACCACTTTATTGTCTTGTACTTTATTAGACACCCATGATGCGCAAACGTAATAGAAATTTTGGGTAAGGACATCTAGCATCAAACAAGATTAAACCCAATTCCCATGGAATACTAAGGGTTCCCTACCCCCAAGTCAAACTACTACAAGTGACGATTTCGACGAACGCGACGCGACCAAATTGAAACGAAAACGACGCGAATTCGTAGAGGGTGTCTCCATCATCTTCAGGGTGGATCATCGTCAGTATCGCTGACGTCTGCATGAGCGCCAGCCTGCTCTCTCTCGGGAAGTCCGCATCATGTGGTAGTACATAAAACAATCAAGAAAATATTAGTAAAATTCTTTACACCATTTTTCTTCAGTCGGGTAAGTTAATATTCAAGAAAACATTTATGATAAATCTTTATAGCCTCTTTTCCATAGTTGGGTAAATTTTCAAAGTATAACATTATTATTCATTTTTTTTTTTTTTTAACCTTACAGGGAATCGAACCCGTTTCCTTTTTTATAATAAGGGAATTTTCTTTATGGACCTATATTATCCTATTATACATTACTAACTATATATATTCTATCCTAATACTGAATTAATCCTATCAATGATCATATTCAAAGTCAATTGAATAATTTGAACAGAGAATCGAACCTGTTACCTATCATTCTTATGGTTATTACCATATCAATAATCCATCTACTCAACAAATTACACTAAAGCTAACAATTAAAAGAAATGAAAATACTTTAATGAAACTACCCATTGATCTGTCATAAACAAAATGTGTAAAAGTTCCTTATAATATGTGTATTGAAAAAAATTTCTAATAAAATGACAAAGTTATATTTAATATGCTTTTGAAATAAAATTCTAAAATAACTATTGTATTGAACCTTATTTACATACCACCATTGCTTTAAAACATTCATATAAACAATAAACTGAAATAAAATCTCATTAGTAACACAATATTATAATACTATCAACCTATTCGGCATAATATAAATTTTCATCATACACCGAATTATCACTATCACTTTCGTTATTCATTTGTATATATTTTCTTTTAAACTTGCACTTAATATGTTTGATTATTAATTGTTCATTATAAAAGTCTACTATCGCATTATTTCGAAGTAAGAAATCCTGTCCTAAGATGAGGTTATGCCTAATATTCTCTACCACAAGAAAATCGTGAATGAATAACACATTGTCTATCAATAATTTAAGGTTGATTTTCCCTATAACCGACAATTCTTTACCATCGACAGCTTTCAACTTCATATCGCTTTCATCAATTCGTTGATGAATTCTATTAACTGTGTCCTTCGACACCACAGACACTGCAGCACCACTATCAATGAGCCCTACAAACTTCTTATCACGACACGTTATATTAATTAATGGTTTGGACTCACTTGTATATTGATTGTTGTTTTCTGACGGTTGGGAATGAAAATCTTGTCCATCAGCCATCGTCATAACATTTTCTTCATAAAAAATTTTCTTCATTTGCTTCTTTGATTTAAGCTTCTTTTTGTTCTTGTTACTGGAACAAAAAGTGCGGGGAATCATGTGTTCGGGAGGGACAATGGGATGAGAAAGGACACTTTGGGAGGAAATGAAGTTGATTTCCTTCTCTTGTTCTTCTTCATGCCTTATTATAGGCGAAATTTTCGTCGCCTCGAAGTGTGTTATTGGTGTAACAAACGATGGTTGGATCGGCAGATTCCAACAAATTTCGGCACTTTCGTCTCCGAAAATATCCTGTGCTTGACGTAAAATATTTTTTAAATGTGTTTTATCACTATATAACTGAAATGCGAAAAGATTTTTTGTATTTAAATTCGCATTTTTCAAGAACTGTCTAATGAAACATTTGTCATCGATGACAGCTCCCGCTTTTGTGGCCAGTTCATCTAATACATAGAAAAAGGTCAATGGCTCTTCTGACAAGCCTTGTCTTCGTGAGAAAAATTTTTCCAACGCATTTATCGATGATGGAAATTCCTCACAAATTTTCTTTTCTAGAATCTGAAAATTCTCACAAGACTCATTAATATTTTTATAAAATAACAATGCAGGTCCACTCAAATATGCCGACAACACAACTCTTTTTGTATCCTCGTTGAAATTATTGATAGCGGCGATGATATTAAATTGACGAAAGAAATCGGTTACATCACCTTTTCCGTCGAATGTGGTCCTGGTCTCCATCTTCATAAAACTACTTCTTTCTTGATTTAAAATTATTTTTCATTCGCGGTACTTGAATCTAACGCGGCGCGTCCACCATATAGAGTTCTACCCAGAATGGATAGAACCTAGGGGCGTAGACGATAATTGAAAAAATACTGATAGAGATAAATTATTTATTTTATTTTATCATTCAGGCGATTATAAAGAATTTTATCTAAATACGAGAGGAAGTTCTTGGTGCCTGAAGATCTAATCTTGAATGGAACCTTCTATCAAAAGACAGACGATTCCTTATTTCAAATCTTAAAATCATGACATTAACTTTTTTTAATATAACTGCCAACCGTAGGCATTGCAAAAGCAAAGAGTTTACCTAAACAAGGAGGTTATAACGTCAAGGACGTTACAGTACTGACATTATAGTAGGTAATTTAATGTTATGGCTACCAATACCTTGTTTTTTAATAGTCCTCGATATTTCGGCACATTTTTTTAGTGTCATAATCACCTGTTCTTGACATACAAAACTTTACAGTATCTGATCGTGACAGACATTATTTTGATTTTTTTGCACATACATTACTCAATTTCGGTATTGCTTTATCAGATACATCGTTCGAGTCAGGCATGTCAGATGACTACGCGATCCCTCCAGACGCGGTGTCTTGCGACAGTATGGCGTCGCCTTCGCTGGCGTCGTTGTGTCGAGCTCCCCCTACTACGGAATCGCCTCGACGACATGATGCTTTGGAAAAGAGTGGACACCTAGCCAAACTGGGTGGAAAACTCAAGACTTGGAGGAAGAGATGGTAAGTTTTTCGTTTTCTTTTCTAGTAGTTAATTCGTTTTTAGTTTTCTGGAAGATGCCTTACGCTTTTTTCGCCCACCGGGCTGTTTCTTCGTCACAAATCCACTTAATCCAACAAATTAGGAAAGATACGGAAGCATCTCTAACAAAAGCCGCTAAAACATGGTTCGTTCAAATATTTGCAAATGAATTTGGCTATTCATTCATTGGGTAAGATAGTGTTAAACGGTAATGCCAACCAATCCCATGATCGGCCTGTTGATCACATTTTTGTCGCCCTGCCCACTTGATCGCAGTTTGCGTGGAACCACTTTGTAGCGCAGTTCGTATTATATAACATTTCCAATTCGTTGACTTAATCCGATTTCCGAATGATTTACAGTTTATTTGAGGAAAAGCACCAAATCCCATTTATTATCAGGGAGGCAAATATACCTCTGTCTACAATAAAGCAGTACCAACAAGTTCGACTGACCTATAATTGTTTCCATCTAGGTTCGTCCTCAAAAACGGTACACTTTCATACTGGAAGTCTCAGTCGGAAGTAAATAGGAAACCTCAAGGCCAGATAGGTCTGGGCGAAGCTTGCAAGATATCCAGAAACGAAGGGGCGGCCACCTTCGAAATCTTTACCGGGAGTCGAACTTACTACCTCACGGCTGACAGCATCGCGACAATGGAGGATTGGATAAGGGTGCTACAGGTAAATGAATACTTATGTACCTAGTATTTGCATTTGCCTGAATGATAAACTCAGTTTTAGTTGGTGGCAAGTGATAATGTAGACGATAATAGAGTACTATCACCGTCAGTCAATGGTTGTTCAAATTATATGTTTTCCCTGACCTTAAAAGAATATCATCGAACTCGTCTTATACCATCATCGAACTTGAGCTGAAGCTATTAGAAAAGTAATTCCCAAACTTTGGGAGCTCGACGACACGCAATAAAAAAAACAAATATTAAGCAACTTTTGCAATGCCCGGTAATTGGATGAGAGATGACAGAAGACTTATTATGGAATGCACGTTAAGCCGTTGGTCCCGGCTGCATCTGCAGTCGTTAGCACCCACAAATCCGCACTGGGCCCGCGTTGTGGGTCATCGCCCAGCAACATTAAGAGCCCTATCACATTTTTTACAAAAAGTCGTAATTTTTGAGCGCCTCGTTTACCCCTTAGAAGAGATTTTGATTATTTCCAATAGAAGTTAACAGTAGATTTGTTCTTCCTATTGTAAGTTAATGTAGAATATTTGCAAATACTGTCTTCCTTTCTTTGAACTGATCGTTCCACCGCAGCTAGTTACGGAAAAAACGATAATATGCACAACTTCAAACGCCTGAATCTCTAAATAATGTTCAATAACATAGATGAAATTAATTACTACGTCATCAGAAGTATATTTTTGTTGTAACATAATGTATTAGAATTTTGATTTTGCATCTCATTTATTATCAAAAAGAACATCTGACCTCCGTGAGTTTTCCCAAAAAACAATGCAGGTTTACCCGTATTTTGATATTGAATTAAATAAAATTACAATCGAAAACTTTTATAAAACTATTCTACCATTATTGAACTAGTAAAATATTTGTATATTTTTATAATTAGTGCATTAATAATTATTTTATAATACACGAAACATCACCCGAAAAAGGCAATAATACTAGTGCAAATCTACCTACGCGCCGATCAGTACGGCAGCGGCGTAATTTTGTAAAAGGGCTCTTAATAGGCTGGTGATGAACTTCATAACATACTCCGTAAGCTTTCAATGCAGTATCACACTATATATTTTCAATACTGTCACTTCATTGTTAGTTTCCATTCTGTGACAGTACTTACAAATTTTATGTGTTACTGTAGTGAAATATATTCATTATCATTTTCTCCGTAGAATGTCCAAAGGCGGAACGCTACGAAACTGTTGCTAAGCAAAGAGGACAACAAACCGACGATCCAGGGATGGCTTACCAAAGTGAAGAATGGGCACGCGAAGAAGAGCTGGTGCGTCCTTATTGGGAAAATGTTCCTCTACTTCAAGTCTCCTGGAGATCAGGTAATGTGTTTAAACATTATCAACTAGACGAATGCCTGTCTCTTTTCTTTTTGGTTGAAGTCTATTTTATTTGACGAGCTCAAACCTTAAGTAAAACAATACGGAGTGTATTTACGCTTAAGAACAATTTACAAATGCCGATAAGGTGAAGAATATTTGTGATTTATCTATCCGTTGAAGTATTTTTGTTATAATCTTGATTTTAATAAAATATTATAGCAGACAAATAATAAAACTATGCATAGTGAATCAGGTCGGTGAGGCCATTACTATGGGTATGATACTTGTGATTATACAAGAAAGTACATAAAATGGATTTCCTTCGTTGAGGAAATGCGTTTAAATATCTTTGGATGCATTATCTGAACAATTAATAATTAAGCCTACCAAATAAAATCAGACGACATAATCTGATGGCATGGGAAGACTGCAACAACACATTGCGACTTAAAATTCTTCGCTTGTTACCCCGACCATATTTCTGATGGAACAAAATTACCTATATGATTTTATGACCGCTTGTTTGTCAAGCAAGTTAAGTTTCTTAAAGTTAGTTACTTAAGTTTCTTACCACCCTTGTAGCAAAAGCCAAATATGTTTAACCAGGCTTCAACAGGCCGTTTATGTCCAAACGAGCTAAAATTGTTCTTACCATACTTGTAATAAAAAAAAATCTCTCCAGAATCCAACCGGCCAAATTAACATGCGCGATGCCCGCGTAGAAGACGTAGAACACGTCTCAGATTCCGACTCGGAAGAGAAGAATGATGACACCAGCAAACATCTCACTGTCGCCATCTATCCGCAGCACCAGGTAACTGGGGTTAGTGACGAAACATTTATATTAATTATTATCTACTAATCATAATTTTCCATTATATCTTACACATTTTTTCATCCACCTGCAACCACCTCACTGTCACGATCAATCCGCAGTACCAGGTAACTGGGGTTAGTGACGAAACATTTATATTAATATTATTATCTACGAGTACTAATCACAATTTTCCATTATATCTTACACGTTTTGTCATCACTATAATCCAACTGCAACTACTTCACTGTCGCGATCTATCAGCAGCACCAGGTAACTGGGGTCAGGGACGAAACATTTCTTATTCAACTTTTCATTATATTTTACACGTTTTTCATCACTATTTCAATCTAAAATGCACTCTAAATCACTAACGCAACCATCTGTTGCCGCCATCTATCTGCAGTGCCAGGTAACTGGGGTTAAATACTAAATAATTTTGATAAACTAACTACGTTTTAATTTATATTTTACATGTTTATAATCACTATTCCAATTACAAATCTGCATTTGTTTGAAGTTAATTCTTCTTTACTGAGCACTTTTCCGTAACTCGAATTTTTATAACCTCAACTCACTGTCGCCATCTTCTTAAAGTACCAAATAACAGGAGTTAGTGATGTAACATTAAACATTGTAACTATCACAACTTTTATTTTAAATATTTTTTTCATTACTGTTCCAACCCTGAATGCCCTCTGAATTTAATTCTTCTTCAGTAAGGAGATTTCTGTAACTCGACTTTGATATGGCGCCTGTTTTACACTAGTTTTGTTTCATCTGTGTTTGTCTGTCTACTTGTTTTTGTGTTTGTGTTTGTGTATGTGTATTTTTGTCATATGAGGACTTACATTGGCTTTAGGCGCTACAGGCAAACTGACTTTATTATTTAGTTAAATTAGCTTAAGTCCACAAGTTCCAAAAGAACATAGACGTATGTATAACTTTAAATAGTTGATAGCGTATTAAATACTGCATTTGCCTAACTAGATAACGGCGCTGGTTCGAATTCAGCCACCTTGACCGTATATTTATTTTTCTAGTAAAATTTTGTTATTTTTTCTTTTTTTATCGTTTAACTATACGACTCCGTTACCTGATCCCAAAGATCTCCACGCTACTCGGTCCTGAGCTGTTCGCATCCAGCGGCCTCTCTTTAGAATAACTATCTATTAGGTCATTTAAAATATTATTTTTGTTATTGAACCATTTGACACCAACTTTTGAGAACAGTCCTCCATTAAAGATCTCCATGCTAATCGGTCCTGACCTGTCCGCATCCAGCAGCTTCCATTTAGATTTATTCGTGTTTTCAATTAATTAATCAATGTGGAGCTCGATGCAGACGTTTAGCGCGTTGGGCCTGCACTCGTGGAAGTGAAGCGATTTACGCGATGGTCGGTTATAGGATGGGTGACCAAAAACTTATCATTCCGAGCTCCTCCGTGCTTCAGAAGGCACGTTAGGCCGTTAGTCCTTACTGCATCCACAGGCATTAGCACTCACTAACCTCAATGAGCCCGCGTGGTGGGTCACGCCCCAATCTCCCTTTTCCATTCATAGGGAAGACCTGTTCCCCAGGTGTGGGGAGATTAATAGAATATTAATGATGATGATGATCAATTATTCTAAAAGGGACGCTTTCAAAGAGAAAATTCTGTCTAATTCCAGGGTCCAACATACCTTCTATTCGAAAGTAAAGCCGACAAAGACTCTTGGTTGTACCACCTCACCGTAGTCAGCGGTGGGGGCCTCAGCCAAGGAACGCACTTTGAACAATTAGTTCAAAAACTCATGGAGACGGATGGAGAAGCAAGTTAGTACTAGCATTTTTATTACCTCTTGGTTGAGAGGAGACATTTTTTTTCTATTACAGTGAAGCGGACAAAATCTCGAGGCTCAGCCAAGGAACGTTGTTCAAACAACTAATCCTCAAAAAACTCATGGAGACGGAAGGGGAAGCAAGTTAGTACTAGCATTTTTATTAACTCTTAGTTGAGAGGAGACATTTTTTTTCTATTAGAATAAAGCGGACACAAAGTCGAGGCTCAGCCAAGGAACGTAGTTCGAACAACTAATCCATAAACTCATGGAGACGGATGGGGAAGCAAGTTAGTACTAACAGTTTTATTACCTCTTGGTTGAAAGGAGCCTTTTTTTCTATTAGAGTAAAGCGGACAAAAAATCGAGGCTCAGCCAAGGAATGTTGTTCAAACAAGTAATCCTCAAGACACTCATTTAGATGGATGGGGGAGCAAGTTAGTACTAGCTTCTTATATTAATCCTGAGTTAAAAAAGAGGTATTTTTATTTTATTTATTGGCGAGAGTAAAGCTTAAAAAAGACTGCGGAAGCTTCAGCCAAGAGATGCACATCGTACAACTAGTCCAGAAAGTCACGGAGAAGCAAGTTAGTACTAGCTAATTATACTAATTCTGAGTTAAAAGGAAGATATTTTTATTCTATTTGTTGTTGTTGGTGAGAGTAAAGCTGACAAAGACTCGACGAAGATCTCAGCCAAAATTCGCAGTTCGAGTCCATAAACTCATGGATAAAAACGGATGGAGAAGCGAGTGAGCTACTTGCTATTTATTACAGTCTGAATTAAAAAGACATATTTTTAATGGACTTGTTGGTTCAATCCATGTTGTAAAATATGCTATCTATACACTAATATGTGTTATAAATGTGTCTGTTATGTATAATGTCGGTCTGTTACCTTGTCACGCTAAAACCGCTGAACCGATTTAGATAGAGATAAAAAATAATAGATAGAGATAGTTTCACCCCAGATAGTTTTTATCCCAGAAATCATCATTTAAGGGGGGTTGATGTTTGTATGGGAAACAAATTAATTATAACAAGTTGCAGAAGTCGCGGGTAATTAGTTTGAATTTAAATGATATAAAAAAAAGGCTGTACATATTTGATATCCAACACTTAATTTAAAATATACTTTTAGATTTTCTACAGTCTAAAAAGTTCTTTTTTTACTGTTATTCATTTGTTCTTAAAAACATATACTTTATTTAAAATCTGCTAATTATTTGATTTCAGATTGTGTACTATGGAGGCATCCCACATTACTGTATTCAAAAGAGAACATAACTTCGCCCCTAACTTCCCTCAACTCAGAGGCGCTGCAGGCAGAAGCGTTAAAACTATTCAAGGTTAGTTTTCTATAATGAGTTAATTCTCAGACATAGATCGAAATAGATAATGCAAATATATTTTACATAATTATAATCAAAATCATTTATTCAGCTTAGGCTGTTACAAGCACTTATGAATGTCTAGAAGTTACGCCATCGTTTCTTAAATCTACGACGGGAGACCTTGTACGGAGGAGAACCGATAAGAAACTTAGCAAGGGCTGGTTTTTCCTCCCTGTTTTATTATTTACAGAGTCGTCAAGTCGTAAAATTACTGAAGAGATGTTTCATGTAGTCATCTTTCATTACATAATGTGTAATATACATTAATTGTTCACCTGCATTTTGGTTGCTGTGACATACAGTATAAATAAAAATAGTGGTATTTATATTAGGTGTAACAATACATTAACATCTTCAAAAGCAAAATAGTAAGGGCTGAATTAGCTGGCAGCACCCGTTCACTAGCATGACGCCTGAACCAGCCATCGCTTCACTCAACCATATTTTAGGGAACCTAACGACCCGAGCGTGCCAAAAAATTTGGTGTTTTCGCGTAACCATTTTGATATCGGATGTCGACCGCAATTTTTTATTGTACTTAGAAGTAAGTTCTTAGCCTCTAACTTTATATTATCCCGCACTGCGTGCAGTTTTTCATGTCAGCAGGTCGGTCTATACCTGTGGTTGTCTTTACTGTGATGTGTTAACAATATGTGGTTTTATTTCCCCTCAGTGTTCATGTCCGTATGCGTGGAGCAAGGGTTTAGGGCATAGACTTCTACGTGGATTTGGCTCAAAACGAGCTGATAACAATATTTGCTTTATTCTATTATTCCTCTCAGTGCGTGGTATTGATCCAGAACAATCTGTCCTGATCAGCTCCAAACTACTCCGCAAGGGAGTGTGATAGGACCGAGGTTGTTTTTAATATAATATATTATCAATTACTTGTTTCAATTTCAATCACACATTATTCATACATTATCACATTTCAATTACACATCATCATCAGCCTATTAATGTCCCCACTACTGGGGCACAAGCCTTCCCTATGGATGGAATAGGGAGATTGGGCCACGACCCACCACGCGGGCCCAGTGGTTTGGTGGGTGCTAACGACTGCAGATGCAGCGGGGACCAACGGCTTAACGTGCCTTCCGAAGCACGGAAGATCACCCATCTAATGACCGAGCACTGCGAAAGTTGCTTCACTTCAACGATCGCAGCCGAACGCGCTAACCACTTGCGCCATCGAGCTCCTCAATTACACATAATTTGTTTTATTCTTCTTTTTAGTGCGTCCAGCTATTCATGTCCGTGTGCGTGGAGCAAGCCGGCATAGACTACCACGTGGTGTTGGCTCAGAACGCTCTGCAGCAGTGCCTGGAAGTGGGGGAGCTTCAGGACGAGTTGGCCGCAGCATTGGCCAAGCAGACGGCGCCCGTCACACACTCCAAGCACGGCGTGCAGGTAACCCCGCGCCTTGCCAGGCCGAGCGCTGCCAAGCTTAAGAATGTAAGTCGCTATATCACCGTATCTATAGAAGTACATTCATAGAGGTAAAAGAATAGAGTAAGGGAGATATAGACTTTACTACAAGTGGAAGTGTCCCTCTAATAGAAAGAGAAAGAGGATGAGAGACCACACTAGGTTTCTCTCTCTAATCGCGCATGCGCATTGGCAACCGTAAGCATCATACTATTTCGATGTGATGCCATTGGATGCTATGCGTCGCAAGAGAGAGAGATAGCTAGCGGTCTCTCATCTTCTTTCTCTTTCTACCAGACAGACACTTTTAGAGCCGCCTTCCCCACTCTATTCTTATACGTCTATGAGTACATTACGTTACCCGCCGTCTTATTACCATGTCCTACCGTTAACGAGTCTCAGGCTTTTATGTGATTATGACAAATAATCACAAAGAACGCGACAAGACAAAGAAGAAAAAACCAAACTAGATAAATCTACAAAAATCGACATTAAATCACAAACAGTAAACATATCTAGAAAACTCGAATACTAGGTAGTAGAGCGCTTTCTTAAGCAAATACCAGTTAGTGGAGCGATTTCTTTATCACACTCGTGCTTGGAGCGAAACGTTCAGCTAGTCGCTCGATACCAGTTTTTGGAGCGCTTTCTTAATCACATACCAGTTAGTGGAGCGGTCTCGTTACTCATCCTCGTAATTGATGTGCGGGTGTCAACTCATCCTGTAGCAATGCATGGAAGTTAGGGAGTTTATGCAGTTACAGAAGTAAAGAAGGTACAGAGACAAAGCTTCTTACTACTGCGCGTATGAGTAAATGAGCACTGACAACCTGATGCCGCCAATAGAAACGTTTCTCTGCATACACGACAAGCGCCAGTGCTTACTCTCACAAGTTCACTGCATGAAGCTTTGCCTCTGTGCCTTCTTTACTCATGTGGCCAAGTAGACGATCTCAGTTACCCACTCCAACCTGGTGGCGGCGCCATCATACCGTGTAACGTACGATTCAAAGTTAGTGACGGCTATGAAGTGAGTGCAAGTCGTGGGTAGCGCTCGTTGTTAACTTCACAACTTTCATGAAGTTTGAATTGAACCAAAAACTAGATTACGTTATCCGTGTTGTTTTATTAATAAGAGTCTAAACTGGCTTATTATTGCACACTATTTGCAAATTCACCAAATATTAAAAAAATACTCAAAATCGATAACAAATCAACAAAAATCGACTTATAATTTTTTCTTTAAATAAAAGTTACTTTTTGAAATAAGAGTAATATAGTCGACTAAATCTTAATCGTTAATCTGACGTGCAGGGCTTGCAATTAAGTCTCATACAGGAAATGAAGCGCTTCTCATACCGTACCATCCGCTTCTGGTATTCAAACTGAAGAATCCGAATGCTAATAACTCTCTCACGCCACGCCTGCTGGTATTGTATTCTTCAAATATCGCGATAAACGCAGGTGCGAGAAGTCATTAGCGGCTATCGTAACCTCCTATCGAGCTGCGTGACGAATGACGTTAGACGATAGCTTGACTGGCGGGTTTACAACAAACATCATATGGATTTTCGGGGTCGGTAAATTTTTAGGTGAATTTGCGTACAACCCCGTTTTCGTCGCCGAAAATTTTGACGCTTATTTCAGTACGATAAGTAGTCAAAGCTTCGTCGCGCCGGTGTGGGACATTCAAGAGAATATAAAATCGGCGCAGCTGCGCAAACCACGAATATTTGTCAGATTTTAGGCAGGGATCAAAGATTGAACGAAGTTGATGCGGACATCGTTCGGATCAAAATTATTCGTATGTGAACAAATTAATTTTAACCACCGTTAAAAAATACAGAATCGCAACTGTGCTTGTTGCGTAATCCAAACATTATATTACTTATGCTTAAAATGTACAGTGATACAAGTTTCAATGTAACATGGCCACGCCCATCGATCGGAAACTGCAACTAGAAATACCGCACGCTGGCACAGTTTAAACTCATGATGCTCTGCTATAAATTGATCCATTTATCTTTAAGCCTAGCTCAGGTTTTGTAGTAACCGGTAGAATTAAATGGTTATCTAGGTACACGAGCAGTAAGGGCGTGCGCTGCGTTAAGCGAAAGCACCGAGCGGCCGTTTGCTCCGTGATCTCGCTTAACGCAGCACAGGCCCTTATGGCGTTACTGTTGAAATTGGTAACATATAAGGCTACTGATGTTGGCGGGACATGGTAATGGGACGATAGGTAAAAGGCAGTCCCAACTCGATTTGATGTTTTTATAGTGGAAAAATAAAATATAGCTTTTGTGTACTTATTCTAAATAAATCCATATAAAAGCATTAACGATGAGAAGAATCATTTTTATCATATGCTATTTCAAGGCGAATTGTTTATATAATTTAATATAGATCGTTCGTCTAGAAATCGTTACAAAAAGCATGGCTTTTCAATAAATATTGCACTGATAACAATTAACTATGGTTAGCTTTATCCTTGCTATTTATGTGACCTACCTAGCCTAGCTACCATAGATTTAAGGTTGATTTTACATGAGATTATTTAGTGCTATATTTGTTTCCATACATTTAATTTAAAAAAAAAAGACACTCATTGTTACCCTTCGTTTACACCAAGGTATAATACATGTATGTAACAAATTGTTAACAATTTCTTATTTTTTTGTTCTCACTTATATACATGTTGACAACATGTAGTATACAATTTTTTTTTGTTGTATACACAAGTTATGTTAATTAAATAGTCATTTATACTTGTAGAGATACTCGTCTATGCAGTGATAATAAAAGAATGTCACAACAAGTATCCTATAAGTTTTGTGTAAATCTAGTATGTATATGCCTTGTTTTGTTTCTTGGTGTAAAGGGTTAAGAAAACAACCGGGTCATAATTTTTTTTTTATTACCTAATAATGTTTATAATTACCTAAAATAAAACTTCGATTATATTCATGGGCCCTAATCGCAAAAGGATTGAGTTTAAAATTCATCTACAGCAACAAAGAGTTTTAAAGGCCCATGCTTTTGAATTATTTAATTCTGATCAGATTCAAAAACGAAAACTAGTTTTTTAATCATAATTTTTTTCACTCGTCGCTTCATATAAGCTTGAGCTAAGCTATACGCTTCTGTGCTTTTCTCATATATGACATTATAAACACATCAATAAATATCATTCACGTTTTCTTCGGTATTGGCACACAAAGTAGAAAGAGCTTATTTACTATATAAAAATGACTTTACAAAGTGACTGTCATTAATATACTAAAGTGGCTTTTAATATTTTCAGATTCGATATTTCCTAATAGAGATCTTGTAAAGTTATAGTATTAATCAGCGTATTCGAAAAGCATAACAATATACTCTTTTTTGGGCAGTCGTGTAAAAATAGTAATAATCTTACCGCAAATATAAAAAAAAATACCAAAAATATAAAATCGGACAACTATTAATAAAAGATAAGTTGTCCTGATATTTTTTTATAATATAAAATAAAAAGGTTTCTTTTGTAAATGTAACAAAACTTTCTAAATAAAAACTTAAGACCTACCTCCTATCTTTGGTTATATATAAAGAAGTGTAATAATTAAACGTAATGCTAGTCGTTGACGCTGATTGTACTTTCCAGCTTTATGTTTAATACTAAGCAGAGCATTTTTATGAATTATCAAAAATTAACTCCATTACTTATAAACATACAATTTAAATTATTTGACCATATGTAAAGAATACTCGCAGATCCTCTAATAATTCAAATAATTTTTTTACATTATTTATATCATCATCATAGAACATTATTATTGATAGTCAAGTGTTATGAGAAAAAGTTCTGCTTAACTTTAGTATATCCTGATGGCTTTCACTTTCAAAGTTACTTTGCATATTACTACTGTAAATATACACTAACAACCCATCATTGTTGTAAATAAAAGCTTTCTGTGTGGCTCCAAAGTTAAAAGCTTAAGTGTCAAGTGTGGCCGATCAATTTGGAATTGTGAATGTGACTATAAATATTTTATTGGCTTCAATCGAAATGTGGTAAATGTGTTACATTTTATTCATCGAAATTTATTTCATATCGACAAAAATGCTTATTGAAATTTAAATTTTTTTGTAAGGTTGTATTCCAACTTGATCATGAAATTATGGCAACAATTGGGGAACAAAAGGAAAATGTATATTTATGTTATATACAACGCTTTTGTATTGAACTTAGTAATGATATACTAAATATTACTCTTGTCCCCGATTGCAAAATGTAAGTATCTATGTAAAATATTACCTAGTTGTTAAACACAGCTTTTGTTGTAAATATCAGTAACGATGTTGCCATAATAAAGAAAGCGGTTTGCTTCAATGTTACCTTTCAAATGGAATGTTGGTGTAAATTTTTCTCCCGAAATTTTCAGTTTTATTTTATTCTTCCAAACTTTTCTTCCAAGAATGATTATCCCTGGCCCTTATAGATTTAGGGAATGAACTTTATGTTGTTATTATCATCCATATATACTCTTTCATAGCTAGTGTTCTTGGCACTGTTCGAACTCCTTTTTAAAGAAAGGTTGATGTTGCTAGATTTAGTTGTTTATATTGATATTTCATATATAACATGGTTTGAGGTTTACCCAATAAAGGTAAGTCAGTGTTAATAGGTTAAGTTGTGTACGGCAGAACTGCAAAGTATGCGAAACACTTTGAAAATTAACTATTTTTTCATAAAGTAACCAAATTAGCTTTGGAATAATATTTACAATTCTTCATTTACTATCCCTTTTCCTTCTTTCTCTGTCTGTCTCTCTCTCTCTCTCCCTCTTTCTCTCTCACACATTCTATCCTTTCTGATTCACATAGAATTTTCAATTTTTTAAAGTCTACGATGGAAAACTTCATAACAGAGAAAACAAATGATAAATCATTTTCCAATAAAAATGTTGGATAACAATTGGGTTTAGTTATTGATTCAGCCTTATTGACACTTGTCACAAATATCTTTTGTTGGAACAATATATTTGCATGTATTTCGTACATTTGAAAGGTACTTTCAAAATTCTTCCTCTTTAATAGTTACATCTAAAATACTTAAAATTATCCATACAATAAAGACTACAGTTATTTTCTAACATTGATAAAGAATTAAAGGTATCTACTGTAAATTTTCATCTTTTTTCTTATTCTTACCTTTATTCTCATATTATTATATTCTTCATAATTTCATGTAAGAAATTTAATACTAACAGGCATATAATGCAGTTCTACCTACAGGGTTAATTTTAATGGATACACACTGCACTATCACTTCAGATCAACACCTGCGCTGTAAATATACAACACATGAGTAAATCGGGATGTTGCTAAGGGATACCTCCTTCTGGTTTCACATAAATAGGTGTTATTTTATTATACATAATCACATTTTCACTAGTAGGTAATGCTCATCAACTAATATGGGAGATAAGAAAAGGTATAATAATATGTATATGGTTTCAATTATTGATTGGTTAGTATAGGTAGCTGACCTGTTCATACTCATGAAAGTACCCAATAAATTATACATACTTGGATGTTTCTCTCAGATACTTTAGTCTGATATGAACTGTTCTTGTGAAAATCGTTAAGTTACGCCACTGTCGTTCGTGAATTATTGAATCTATATAATCGTTAAAAGTATCATCCGTCAGTTGGCTGTTAATATATTTTTTTATTTTATTTGTTAATATATATAAAAAAAAATCTAGATGATACTGGAACTGACAAGCCAGTTAGATAAGTCCAACTTTGAGAAAGAGATCTCTCGTCGTATCCAGCACGGATGGGCAGCGTTCGGGAAGCTAGGGAATTTCTTCGCATTAAATTACCTCAGCGTCCCAAGATAAAAGTCTGACCAATGTTTGTAGCCAGTGATGACCGATGAAGCGAAACGTGGTTGTTTACTGCGGGTTTCATAAGAAGGCTCATGGTCACACAGCAAGCAATAGAGAGAACGATCCTCGGTTTTGTTGAGAATCAGAAATGAGGAAATCCGTAGCAGAACTAAAGTAACCGATATCGCTCGAAGAATTGCTCTGCTGAATTGGCAATGGGCGGGACACGTAGCGAGAAGAACAGATGGCCGCTGCGGCGGAAAGGTTCTTGAATGACTGAATGGCGACCGCGTACCGGACGACGCGCGACGCTCAGTGGGTAGGCCCACCAGGTGGACCGAAATCTTGTGAAGATGCGATCGGCGCAGGACTAATCAACGTGGAGATCTTTGGGGGAGGCCTATGCTTAGTAGTGGACGGCGTACGGCTGATATGATGAAGATGATTATCAATGAAAGTTTCAAAATTTTAGTCCACTCACCTGCAAAATCAAGGTTCGCGCATTCGATCTGTGATGATCATGAAAGTTCAGCAACTTTCGCAATGGCCGGTCATTGGATGAGTGACCAAAAACTTTCTAGCTCCGCCGTGCTTCGGGATCTGCAGTTGTTAGTCGAAAGTCAAAAATTCTTTATTCAAATTGGATGCACAATACAACTCCTTTGAATCGTCCATATTTTTTCCCCTAGCACCAGTTAAGGACATTTTTTTAGCTATGGAGAAAAACTGGCGAAGATACTTCACAGCGTTAAATAATTATGTATTTATTAGTAAGGTTTTTCGGCTGTGCACTCACCAATTTTCTCCCTTTACCATCCATAGGGACAGCCTGTACCCCAGCAGCGGGGACATTAAAAGGATGATTATAAAGCTGATTATATCAGATCTACAATCAAAAGGTAGGAATAGACTAGACCAATTCTTTGATCATTTCAATGTGTTCGACGTAATGCAAAGAGCATAGGTATCCTAAGTGCTAAAATAAGAGCACCCGTGTGTAGGAGTAGTAATCTCTCCATCTTTGATTATTTAGTTGTGTGTCTTCCTGCAGTGGTATTGTTTCCATGGTTCCACAGGTAGGTAGCACACGAATGAAACCGCCTAAACGCAAAAGTTAAAAAAAATACAAAACACAAAGAGCGATGGAGAGAGATTGTCGGCGTTTATCTGCGTGATCGAATCAGGAACGAGGAAATCCGTAGAAGAAAAGAAAACAACAGACATACCGAGTAAATGCGGGTTACTTTACCTAAAATGTGCACTTTTTTTTTCAAATAAAATTTTAGCTTCTCTTTGTGATGAATATGTCACATTTATATCTTTCCATTGTGAATTTTAAAGTATAAGTTACAAAGTTATCATACGAAAATAAGAAAAAATAATATTTAAGGGTTCATAAATATTTTTTTAATTTTGGACCCAAGTTGGCCTTAAAGAGGGTTACTTTAGCTCGTTGAGTTTTCTCTGTGAAAAAAACTCATTTTAAGCCATGTTGGGGTTAAGTTACCCTTATAACAGATCACCATTAGCATACTGTATACACAAATGGAGATTTTTAACCAAAAATAATTAAGTTAAAGAAAAAATTGTAAACTTACCGAAAACCACAGTTTTCAGAAAGTTTGCGCATGAACTTGCGAACTATTTCAGTTACAAAACCGCGTTACAATGACAACTTGATACAGGAACGATGTCGGTAAAACAACACCACATTACGCGCCTATATGGCTATCTTTGATTTTCAACTGGAATTATTACGGTCACCCAAGAGATACTGATGGGGCGGCACGTTCAATATTTTTTCTGATTTGGGACAAAGTTACCCGCCCGAGCTAAAGTAACCCTCACTTACGTAGCTCAAAATATCGCTGAAGTGGCAATGGGTGGACCAATGCACGTTGGGGTCCCAACATGCTTTAAAGGTGACCTCGCACCGAGAAGCACCGTGTCGGTCCAGCAACAAGTCCAGGTGAATTAACGACATCAAGCGAGTTGAGGGGACCCACTGAATGCGGTTAGCGCAGGACCATTGTTTGTGGAAATCCCTAGAGAAGGCCTATGTCCAGCAGTGGAAGTCGACGGACGTGAAAATCTTTGCCTAATAGGGTAAGGGTTTTAACATCACAAGTTATGATGCCTTTATCGATGAGAATGTATTTCATATTGCTAGTGTTTGGATGCATTCTATAAATATTTTGATCTTATCACACAATACAAATTTATGCAAAATTCATACTGTAAAACAAAATATGTTTTCTAGCAACAATCTTTATGATTTTTGCTGATTCTTTTCAATACAAGCTTTCCTTCCATAGAACTTAATTATTTCTATGTTTACTTCCCTCAACTTGACAAATAAATTAATGGCGTAGCTTTACGATCTTTGCAAGTTATTTGTTTTTATAAAGTCTTTTACCACTGGCTTTGCTGGAAAGTGAAAACATAAATAAGGTTAATTTAAAACTACTACTTACATAAGTAGTACGAATTTCGCGATAAGTAAGGTATCATTAATAATATTGTGTTTTCCCCCTTAAAAAATACCCAGTATTATTATCCTCTTGGTAGATGATATTATATTGGATAATATTGGACAGTAAGCTATTTGATGTCGGACTGTCGTCTTTTCTGAGGGAGGCATCAGATTGCGACAGTGGATACTTACAACACTCCAAGACACTAGCACATCTTAAAAAAAAACAGAGCTAAAAAGTTAGGATGAGTATACTAGCACATATCTACGCTCACCTCAAATGACAAATAAAAAAAAGAATTTAAAAAGTTAGAATGAGTAAAGCCCCCTATAGACGGTCAGACGAACACCAACATTTCATTTGTACAGCAACTGCTACTGTGCGCGACTCAGTCGCTGTTCACTTGTGACACTGGAGCGTCGTCGGTGGGCGGTGACAACAAGAGCGGCGACGTACAACCTAACGCGGCGGGCTCACCGAGCTCGATACAGGTAAATTGGACTATGAAACAACATAGAATAATGTATTTAATCTCCTTGCACAGCCGATATCTTTAACAATAAAAAACCCGCAGAAAATTACAGATGAACTTAGGCTGGCAGTATGCCATTGTATCTTCGCCTGTAAAGCCTCGATGACACGGGACTAGTTTACGACCTGCTAGTCGGCGAGTTTAAAAGCTAGCTAGGTTTACAATCAAACAGTCTACAATCAGATTGTAAAAAAGGCGATGACTAGCGAGTAGCTTGTAAACTCGCCCCGTGTCATCGTGGCTTAACAAGGAACGAAATTCTACTACCATTGAACATAAGATGACATGACATTTTGAAGTTGTTTAAAAGTAAAACACAGCAGCAAAAGACAGAGGAACAGTACCCTTAGCACGAACCATTTTCAAATTCGTAACGTTTGCGAGTAAATGAAATTGCATTATATGTACTGATTTTTAGTTCACGTCCGTTGTGGCGCTGCTGTTCAAGTTCCAAAGAAAATTCGACAATGACATTTCACACTCGCAAACTAGTCGAATTCGATTTTGGTTTATACTAAGAGTACAGATCTCATACAACTTTGGAGTTGAATTAATTCTGTAGTAAGTATCTGATAAATTTTAATGCAACATTAATTGTTACGTATCCAGTCGACTAGTAGCATCCATTGGCCTGCCGCGCGACTTTCTAATCACGGGGCCTGTGGCAACATGTGATGCGACTCTGACCTTAATCTTGACTAACTTCAGCTCCTATGGCGAATTCGCGACATCTTTCAATTAAACGCAATACATATCTTTCAAGTATTAACAAACTTTAATCATAATTGATTTTCATAAATATGTATCTTCTTTTCGAAATTCGCACATATTTATTGCATCTCAAATTGAAAGGTATCGATAACCATATAGCTATCTTCCTTGTCGATAACTACGAGCTACTAACGAGCAAGGTTTTATATTGAAATATCGACCATCAGTACACCATATGGCATGTGTATTATAATTATTTCAGTAAGTATTACTTAAGCTATTGATTTTGCATTAGAAATACTAATGATTGAAGCCAATAAAATATTAAAAATTATTAAGCAATCACTTAACACAAGGGTACATTAAAAATGTCTTATGAGAAAGGTAAATAGAAGGTAATGTATTATATAAGCTAAACGGCAGTACTCGTAATAGAAATCACTTTTTGTCATTAGCTGACGTGAAGTAAATTATTACCTCATACAATTTTTGTTAGTTTCGACAACTCTTTACAGTTTGACTCGAGTTTACTGCCTTTTAGATTGTATGTCAGGTTAAAAGAACTTCTAAATGAACATCCAAAACCTACCGGAAAACGATGCAATGGCTCATACCTACCTACTTACGAATGACAGAATGCTAACAACCAACTCTGAACTGTTGACTTACGATAGCGCATTGTCGCAAAGCTACTTAATAAAACAAAAACGTTCTACAAAGCACCTAACATTTCCACGTCCAATCGTAGGTTTCTGCCACATCTACAGTTTAACGTACTGAGTCAAAGAATCCATGATCGTCTCTTGTTTTGTATTGCTAAAGCCAGCTCCTATTAAACTTTGGATATTCCAGGCGCCTCTTCTCTCGGTGGACTGCAAGAGTAACCCACCGACTTACAGTTTCGTCCAGGGTTGGCAGCTCCTAGCATTGGCTGTGAGCCTCTTTGTACCGAGAAACAATAGGTTGCTGTGGTACTTGAAGCTGCATCTTAGTAGGCATTCGGATTCCAAGTAAGTATAGCACAGATATACTCGTACTTAGGTGGTAGTTACGAAGTGACTTTAATGAATTATTTAATTTATTCTTTGTTTTTTGCTACATTAAAATATACCTAAAACCTTAGAGAGTAGTACGTATTTATAATAAGTAACTAAAATAAGAAAGTTCCTTATAGAACATTTCGTTACCGCCCTGGATGAAGTTATGCGAAAGATACTATACCGAAAGAACGACCAAGCATCGGTCATTAATGACGTATTACTGAACTTCTTTGAAGGACAACAGATTGTTTATAACTCGGTAGAATATGGTTAATACTGACGATGCCGTTAATTATCCAGTAGGGTTCTTAAACACTTTGAACCAACCTGGTCTGCCATACCACAGACTTTTAGTGCGTGTGTGTACACATTTTTTTTAATTTGAAAACTAGGTTGCAAGTTACAGCTTTGCACCGGAACGTAGATCTCCTCTTCGAATTCAAAAGGCTCCAGTTTCCCCTGAATGTCTGATTCGCCATGACCATAAATAAGTCGCAGAGGCAAACTCTCAAATTCGCCGGAGTAGACCTACGACAGGACTGCTTCTCTCACTGTCAGTTCTATGTGGCATGCTCTCGTGTAAGTTCACCACAAAGTTTGGTTCTATTGCTACCACCTACAAACATGGCAAACAATTTTGTTTATAAAGAAGTACTTTAACAAGTATAAAGTTGTTGAACACTTCATCTGTTTAATTATCACCTTCTACCTTACACCTATTTAATATTTAGGACTTGCAATGATAAATTCACAACAAAAAATTTAATTTTAGGTAAATAGTGGTGTCGATTCTGGCAGGATTCTCTAAACATAAAACTAAATTTAACATCAATCTCTCCCTTTCATTCCGCATAGAGAATGAAAAAGATACGCTGTTGTCAAATTTAAGTTTAGGTTTAGAGAATCGTGTCAGAATTGACACCAGAAACATGATAAGCGTATCAAAAAGTTTTAAAAGTTTGCGACACGGAATACCAGTTGCGTTATATTCAAAGTGTTGAAGAACTCTACTGAATGATTAACCTTCTGCATTGTCAGTGTTTACCACAGTATTTCTGTCTTTCAAAGAACTTCAACATTTATATTCGCTAATTGGTCGTTATCAGACATTTACAATTAGTGTAGTGCACTGATACCTATTAAGAGCCATTTAAGTCACGTTTTTATCTCTTCGGCACGTTCCCTTTAGGCCTATCGGAAAAGTATGTGAAAAGTCTTCGATCCTTATATTTTCCAAAATCAAACGAAATGCAACAGTTTTGCCGGTTCCCAAAATGTATACGTTTTTGTTCATCTATTAATGAATAATTGTTACTACTAATACTGACAAGCCTTCTAAATCTTTCACATCGTTAAATAATATTTTTACCGGCTATAATACTTCCATCCTAGACAATCATTTTAGGTTTTCCATAATACTTTTGTAATTTTCTCTGTTCTGCTCTGAAACCGATCTGAGCCATGTTAGGATTGATGTATATTTTTGCAATATAACTGGATCTTGAATTGCACTCGTTGTATTGCGTAGGGAATATCCCGCTTTTTTAATTGAAATTAACCCGGATTTGACACGTTATTTATGTTATCCAATATAAAACCCACTAACTTAAAACAAAAACATAAATAGTAAGCAGATTGATGAATTAGCAGATTTGGTAAATATTTGCAACTTGAATCACAAAGTCCACGCGGACGAAGTCGTGGGCAAAAGCTAGTTAGTTATAACATTAGGGCGAGGCGTAGTCGTGCCACTTTTGAAAGAAAAAATGTTTATTCCTATACCTACACTTTAAATGTAAGACCAATGAACTTATAATTTGTTCGCTGTTCATTCTCTTCCGACCAGAGTCCTGGTGCTTTGAGATACAGGTGGTCTGACTATTTCATGCACCAGTCTCTCACAATCTATTTTACTGTTTTTTTTATAAAATTTTATTATATTAAGTTGTCACGTGATTTGTAGATTGTGGAAAAAAAAGATTATTATTATTGAAGATTACTAATTTCCTAATAATTATGCGTTAGATATCATTGTCGGTAAATTGTTAATGTTAAATGACTAACGAAAATTGTCTTTAATTATCATTTTAAAAATACCAAACTTTATCTTTTAGAACTGAATGTGGCAAATACGCAGCATATTGCGCGCGGGCATTGGAACGAACGATTCGTAATGGCGGTAGGGAGGACAAGCCGTCCCGCATGGAAGTGCTATCCATTTTGCTCAAGAACCCGTACCACCACTGCCTGCCTCACGCGATACCCGTACACATGCTTAATAATACGTACCAGGTAAATAAATGACTAAGAAAAGCTTTGACAGTACAGGCAATATTTAATAACAAAAAGAATTAAGTACCAATATCATCAATATGACTTCGAGTCGATGGATATTTTCACATCGATTTCATAATGATCTACAGATCTATTCTGAATTGTGATTATGTTAGTGAAATGTGTGATTTCAAACGGAATAGCTCCACTATTTTATTAATATTACAATAATAAAACACCCTTGTAAAAATGTGGCTGTGAATTTGATCTGTTACTGGTTTTACACTACAAACTACATTGGTGTCGATTCCAGCGTGATTCTCTAAACTTAAAACTAAATTTAACATCAGTCTGTCCTTTTCATTCTGTATAGAGAATGACAAGGATACACTGTTGTCAAATTTAAGTTTAGATTTAGAGAATCGTGCCAGAATCGACACCATTGTCTATTAATTAAGAATTTTGATTCGTTTTAAACGACTTTAGAACTAGAATTTTGAGTTGGTCCTTCGAGTATACGGTTTAAACACCACAGTGTTTTACTGTGTCTCTTACCTCTAAGTCCTTGATAATGTTCAAACACTGACTGACTGATTTCACATTATTACCTAATTTTGTACGCTTTCCCGCAGGTGATAAGTTTCGACGGATCAACGACAGTGGAGGAATTCTTATCGACACTTAGTACAGAGCTAGGATGCAGGGAATCTGCGGTTTCTGGTTTCGCACTGTTCAGTGACGACCCCATAGAAAAAGATTTAGAACATCACATAAAGCCGGACAAAAAGGTGAGTAATTATATTATAAATAACCAAATATTAACTTCATTTTTTATGTTCGGAATACAAATCAGGAAAATTTGGAAAATATAATCACAAATTGTGTAAATAACCACAAATCTATTAAATTCATTGTTTCTTTATATTTAAAAGGAGTATATAAATGCTAAACAATTTGTAGAGCAGTGTTACATAAGACAGTGACATCCCATAAATGAATGATTGGTCTCGCTACACTCGAGACCAATCATTTATCTATGTGACATCCAATATTTTTGATAATAGTGATTCGAACATTATTAGTTTTGAATTAGAATCAGAAGATTAAAAATGTTTTTCTTTTATTCCCAGCTATGTGATGTAATATCGAAATGGGAGACTGCGTTAAGAGAGAAGGGTTCTGGAAAGTTCGAAAACTCTCGTGTGATCAGACTGACTTATAGAAATAGATTGTACTTCAAGAACTCCGTACGAACAGAGACTGACAAAGAAAGATTGCTGCTTTGCTACCAAGTCAATCAACAAGGTAAGCTATGACCTATAATTAATTATAGTCTACCCTTATTTTTTAATAAAATAAAAGTAATTGGTATTCGGGAAGGAAGAAGGAATAATGTCGAAATTACATAGCTACAAGGATAATGACGTTTGAAAAACAGACATTGTAAGTTATAAAGGTTGAGCAAAAACGCAAAAAAACCATCATAATATTTATAATAGTTATTGATTAAATATTAAAGAAAAAATTAAAGAACCTCTTTTAAAGGGTGCCATCATGGCCAGTGCCGTCTTTGACCTATTGGAGGCCCAGGGCATATTAGGATAATGGGGCCCCAATGACTTCCGTTTGGTAATTTAACAGGAACTAGGGACTTTGTATTTGATCTGAGGGGGCCCCCTATCGATCGCAGAGCCCTGGGCACTTGCCCAAAGTGCCTACTGGGAAAAACGGGTCTGGTCATGACATTATTTGTAATAATTAGTTTCTTTCCATGTTAAATGTAGGGAACTGACTCGCTTCTGATATGCCACGGTTCCTGCACAGTTTGTTGCTGCCTTTAAACAAAACCTGCTAGATTCCTACCATGGCTCTTCAGAAAATGATGCTAGTTCAAATTTAGAATGTCTTTATAAATATGAAATTAATTAACATCGTCTTACTGTTTTGTCAGTGGTGGCGGGTCGTTTTCCCGTAACGCGCGAATTGGCAGCCGAGTTGGGAGCTCTGATGGCACAACTGGATATGGGCGATTATTCTTCGGCCAACTCGCAGCACAACCAACCGTTGGCCCACAGATTCTACCCATACCGATATAGAGCTGGATTGAGTAACGACGAATTGAGGTAAGTCGATGCTGTTAATGTAAATCGATGAGAATAAAATGTGTAGCATTTTTGATTGGTACCACTACCATGCCTCACAGCATTTTCCTGTAATGAGTAATTTAGCACGTCAATGCTATGTGAATACTATGTTTATTTTTTAACAAATGAAAATTATGTTCTCATAACATTATCTACGCACGTTTAAACAAATGCCAGAGTTTTTAAATTCCCTTCTATATTTAGGTAAATTTAGTAAAACATCAAGTTAATATGAAAAATTTTCTTTTTCGATAATGAATGAAAACGATAATTATATAACTAGATAAAGCTCAAAGTCAGTAGTAGTAGTAGAGAGATTAGAGTACAAATTTTGAATAACTTAGTATGTAGATGTGTCTACTATGTGGTGGTACTAAGTGCTGGTTTATAATTTTGAACAAATAAGAAAACTATGAGGAACTCGTTGGCGCAGGTGATCCTTGAAATAAAGCAAAATTCTTCTATCTCGAGTTACTCCGTGCGTTGGTCCCAGCTGCATTTGCAGTCGTTAGTACCTGCCAATCCGCACTGGGCCGCGTGGTGGGTCACGGCCCAATCTCCTATTCCATCCATGGGGAAGGCCTGTGCCCCAGCAGTGGGGACATTACTATTAATGTCCCCACTGCTGGTCATCATTAGCCTATGCTAATGATGAAGAAAACTATGTGTCCAGCCTTTTATGACGTGTACGTATATATACATAATTTGGTTGCAGAGACGTAGAGGAGAAGCTGCGATCTAAATGGATAGCGCTGAAAGGGCGAAGTACGGCGGATTGCGTGCGGATATACTTGAATTGTACCAGGAAGTGGCCTTTCTTCGGTGCAACGTTGTTCCAGGCTAGGGTGAGTATTTTTTTGACGCGGCGAAGTCCCTCAACGGATATCTCGCGGTTCCGCACTTAACAGCGTAGACGGTATTAAATAATAAATAAATAAATATTTCCAACACACACCAATTAGCCCTGAAAGTAAGCACTGTAAGGCTTGTGTTATGGGATATAACCTCCCTGCGAATACCGACTTCCGTGACCGAGTGGTCTGTACGCCGGGTTTCATGGTGTCGCCGACACGAGAGGCCCCGGTTTCGAATCCCGGTGGGGGCAGATGTTTGTGTGATGAATACAAGCATTTACACTACAGTCATGGGTGTTTAATATGTATTTCTATTAAAATATGCTTATACGAGTATATGTACAGTATATGTATTCTATCCGTTACTTCCATAACACAAGCCTTACAGTGCTTACTTTGGGGCTAAGATAATTGGTGTGAGTGTTGGAAATATTTATTTTTATTTAATTATTTACTGTTATTTTGCATAGATAAAACAGCCAGACTTGTCTATGGTGTGGCTAGCGGTATCAGAGGACGGCGTGACGGTGCTAGAACTGGCGTCTATGGCTGTGATAGGCCGATACGCGCTCAACTCCATAGGACTGTTCGGTGGACTACAGGTAATATTTCTCTTACTATACTATACTAACTATAATTGCTATTTCTTCTTTCAAATGTTTAATACTTGTAAAGGTATTCATTTGACATTGTGGGTTACCTACAATGCGAAGAAATGGCGCTGCCTTGCAGCCTAACGCTAGAGAAAATACGACGCAGGCCGTCAGGGCCGCGCTAGCATAATGGTCAGTGCATTCGCCCGGATAGCGAATCGTGCGGGTTCAAGTCCCGTCTGCTGCCTGGTCCGTGTGGATTTTTTTCTAGTATACTTTTCTTTAGATTTGGACATCAATGCTTATAAAATAAAAACATAAATATATTTCTTAATAATAAAACTACAACGCCGTCCTGGTGATACAGTCCTATAAATCATCAGCCTATTAATGTCCTGACTGCTGGGCCCCAGGCCTGCTATGGATGATTGAATAGGGAGACTGGGCCGTGACCCTCCACAAGGGCCCAGTGCGGATTGGTGGGTGCTAACGTACTATCAACTTACTGTGTAATCAAGCAAAAAACGCAATGCTAACGATTTGCTAGTCTTTGTATTAAGTTGCGATTAACGTTTTTTTTAGGATTCTGTAGTCCTGACAAGGAACCCTTATAGTTTCGTCATGGCCGTCCGTCCCTGATTTTGCTTGGAGACGGTTAGCACTTGAAAACTGTAATTTTGGGAGATATGTATATCAATCACACCGACAAAATAGTAGCATACAATTTTGAAATTTTTTTAGGGTAACTCATGTAGGGGACATGTAAGCTGGGATGATTGTTTTTTTTTCGTCGTCTACCCTATCGTGTGGGGTATCGTTAAATAGGTCCATTAAAATGAATTAGGGGTTACTAAGACTATTTTTCGTTTAAGGGATCCGTTTGCGAAATATTGAACTTTAAAGTGCTTATAACGGTTAATATAGATTTGTTAGTTTAAGGCTCGTATTACAGAATGACAACTGAGTGTTGATTTTGACTTGTGAACAGTTAGAAAGGGATGTCGCCATGTAAAGCACAATAGCACATAGCGACATCCCTTTTTAACTGTACTCAAGTAAAGATCAATAGTTAGGCCCGTATTATAAAAAGACTAGCAAACCAGTGAACCAAATGTTCACCAAAACCTGATTTTAAAAAAAATGTATTTAATTAATTGAGAACTTCGGAGATTTTGTGTGGTTTCGTTTGAAATTCGTGATTTCTCGAAAACCGGAAATGCTACGTTACTTAAATCCGGTTTGTAGTCTTATCAGACTATTCTTAACTTATAACTTAAATATTCTCTTTATCTATCTCTTACGGTTTGGCCGCTGAAACAGCACCACAGACGGACGGACCGACTTGTCTACTAGTTAAGAGATTCTCAGTGATTGATCTAGTCTTGAACATAGTTAGAAAGGGATGTCGCTATCTAAAACACATACCGACATCCCTTTCTAACTGTACTCAAGTAAAGATCAACACTTAGTTTTCATTCTGTAATACGAGCCTTAGAGTTATAGTCGTTCAACTTTGGTTAAAGAAAAGTTCTTACCTATTTGAAAATTCCTTATAAGAAACTTACCAGTGGTACCAACCTTTCTTCTGAAGCACGTAGGAGCTTGAGGTAATAAGCTTTTGGTCACCCATCCAATGACCGTTCATTGCGAACTTTCACAATCGCAGGCCGAATGTGCTAACCACCTGCACCATTGAGCTCCTCCTCCTATCTTCTTCTACTAAAACTAATATATAACCCCTTTCTTAACATTGATGATTTTATGTCTTGTGACCCATCCTGACATATACAACTCAAATGACTTGAATTCCTCTGTTTTTTATTAAAAGAGTGACAGTTCAAGACTCTGTGTGTATCTATTGTTATCCTGGAAAATGTAATTCCCTGTGGAAAACTCAAAAATACTAAAGTTAGCGACCGCCCCGAAATCGCGGGCGGTCGCTCGTAGCTTATAAATTATTGGAAAATGTTTATAGTAAATACCTTGATTAGGTATATACACGTTGAGATACCTGCCTCAAAAAATATAATGGAAGATAAGCTCGTCGATACACAAGCACACATTCACAATCTGATATTAGAGTCACGCACACATTTCGCGTAACATGAGCCGTATTCTTTGTGTGATTTATTTGGATTGCTCCATTTAAGCGTATATATAATCAAAGAGTAAATAAATAGGTATTATTCTATGTTCCAGGATGATTTGATGATGCTGATAGACGCCGAAGACGCAGCCAGTCCGGTGCACAAGATGTTGATCAGTCTCAACAAGCCAAAAGTAAGTTACGAAATCCCATAAAATCATTTTGAAATACCTAATTTTAAAAAATATGATAATACCATAGACTTTGTTAAAGGTTCTTGATTGCTCACTTGAAAAACGATGTGTTTGTTAAATTTTCTCTCGTGTTGGTATAGTCTTTTGGTTATTATAGTATTCTGTTACTGCTATTTCCGACCAGCAGTTCAAGGCAAAGTACCTAACTTCTTGTTTGGCATCATAACCTAAACAAAAAATATATTGCTTGAAATCTATAACACGTTCATAGATATATATAAATTTTTAAAAGTAGTATTATAATCACATTTTAAATTTAAAAAAAACCGTTACTACTACCGTACTTTATTGTTAAATTCCTCATCCAACAGATGGCAGAGCTAACACATCTAATAGCGGACTACAAAAATGCCTTACAACGATCAGGGGGTGGAGGCACTCCCCAAATGAACTCCTTAACTAGGCACGGTTCACACCGATCCATACGAAAACCCATCCCACACTCGAGCCCCAGTACATTACCCCACGCCCACGCGCATTCCCACGCCCATACCCACGCCCACAATACCCTGAACTCCCACGCCACAACCATGACTTTGGGCTCCGATCGAAACGCGACCTTAACATTAAGCTCACACACATCAACTTTCAACCAACACGTCGAAGCCCGAGTTCTATCCCACGGTCAACCAGACATACTCAAATCCACCCCAGACCATCACAGAAGCGACAAAAAGCGAAGTCACACTCAAGACAGCGGCGTCGCGTGATCCCCGTACAAGGGAAAATAAACTCTATCGCGTCGTATGAACGTTTAAAAGGGTGTTTACTTCCCGATTACCTCATATTTTGTAGCTACATTCAGCGCGACTCGTATCGTCGTGTCATCGGTCCGTAGTTTACGATTTCTCGGTAGGTGAGTACGAATGCTGTTTTTTGGTTTTAGGTTTTTTGTGCGAATGGGTTTTTTACGAATGTTTCTGAGCAGTTTTTAATGCCAATTTAACAGTAGCTATATGTGCAGGGTATAATGAATGCTATGTTATGTACGTAGAAAACGATAGTCATACCATGATTAATAGGATTTTTTTGAAAACTGTGTCTTTCTTTTTTATTAATTTATATTAATTATCTTGTATTGTAAATGCAACTAAACCATAGTTGTATTATAGGAAACGACATTACAGGATAACTAAAGCTTATTGAACCGGTATAAGTAATTTATAATGATATCTCTGATTTTTACTGAACATTGTCTTTAATTTATTTATTGTATTTAAGTATAATATTAAATGTCATCAGAAAACGTAAAACAGACAGCGACTCTTCTAGGTGGGTTATATAAAATAAAACTGTAAAGTTCTTCCATTCGATATTCATTTACAACCTTCAAAGTTTGCTTCAAAGTATAAAGAACAAGAAAATTCGAAAACTGAGGTTGTATTTACAATATTATCATAAAATACCCAGTGAATATAGATTTTAATAAAAATTCACTGGCTTTAGATTTTGTACTGCTTCTATTGATATATTTTAAAGTTCGTAAATAAGTTGACAATCTTCATTTGTTAAGAGAAATTAAGCCATAGATAATGATAATTACAACCTATTTTTAGGAAGGCCACAATGGCCCATAGCGTCGTATCATCACATACTATGTAAAAAGTAGTCACACTTAAACATCACTTTAAAAAAAATATACTTACTTACCTACTTACTAAAAAGATGTGCAATCAATAAGTATACACAAATCAAAAACTTTCATAATATATTGTGAGCTTTATTTCAAAGACAGTAAAGTTAAAAATCGAGTAGGTAATCTGACGTGCAATGTTTTATGCACGTAATAGTTTTATCTGTTTAGCGAAACCTTTAGATTGTTCTATTTAAGATGTTGGATTGAAGAAAATCAGATACACATTTCCCGATTGAATAATGAATAAGTAATTGTGATTTCAGCATTAGTATTACTTAGGTACCGAATATATTCCATATAAATAATGAATGACGCAAGGTGCTTGTTTAGAAGCTCACGTTTAATCATCGACTGGACAAACAATTGTTAAAGTCTTTTCGACATAGCATGGGTAGTCTGGTTATTGTCTGTTAATTTTTTTCAATTGCAATAAAATTCATGTCAAGCTTTACAATTGTGCTAAAAAGAACATAACATGTATTGTATAGGTACTATTTTGTAACATAATGTTGAATTAAAGCAACCATACTATGAAAAAGACTCTAATGATATTACATTTCTAAAATGCCATTTTAAACTATGCGCCAAAAGAATGTGCATTTGACAGCTAATTGAGTCTTATTTTACTCATAATACGACTAATAGATATTTAAAGTGAGACAGCGACAAATAGGTCGGAAAGGAGTAAAATTTGTGTCTTATTTTAAGCTGAAATTGTTTTGGACATCAAGTGCTGACAGCTGTCAAATATACATTGGACACCATGTCATAATACACAAAGCTATAATGTTACACTACGCTGAATTTAGCTTAGCGTGCAATTTTCAGCGTAGTCTAATACGAATTGATACGACCTTATACAATAAGAACTATTGTAAAATTACCAACGGTACCTTTATCTTGTTATGTCATTATAATGTTCGTGTATTGTGGGCTTTTTCAAACTTGGAAGCCTATGACTGATACTCAAATTGATATTACGATATTCAACGAATCTCTTGTACTTATTTACATTAAGATTGGTGTCTATAGGACTATCAGTTTACAAAGTTAGTATAAAGTGTAACGCTGACAATGTTTACCTACAATTAACCAAATACTTGTACTGTTTTATTTTGTGGGCATTTTATATTCTTACTCAAATATAAATAGGGATATTTTGTATATTTTTGCATTTATAATTTATGGGTTCCCTGACAGCTGTAGATATTAATTATACTTGAGACTAAATGTTTACCTAATATAGGTCTTGATGTACTTGAAGAAATTTTTCGATAGAGTAAATATTTTTTAAACATTTCTAGTCCTGCCTTGGTACCGTAGGCAAGATTTTTTTATTATTTAAAAGTAGATTAGCTTTGATATTACCTGTCAATTTTATACGCTATTACAAAGATATTGTTACCAGCTTAACATTCTATTGTTTTTGGTGTTTAATAATGAAGGAGGTACTCGTAAATAATTCATTTGCAAGTAGGTGTAAATATCTTACCTGTAATCTTATTGAAATCCTACGTTTTATGATCATTTGTAATACTATTTTACTTACCCAATTTGTAAATATATTTGATGCCGACGATGTGATTGTAACAAGCAAGAAAAGGAACTGCAAATTATTAGTAATAAGTAGTTTATATATTAATCCCTAGGAACTCATCCTTCAGTAAAATGTATAATTTCGACCAATTCGCTTCCAAAGCCAAAACTATAGTGCAGACTGTGACTTTCAATTAAAAACCCTATTTGTATATAGGTATAAGATTTATTTTTGACAAAATCGTGATTTTGTTTTTAATTTTGTTGAATTAGGGTTGGCAGTCCATAAAAAAATTGCCATGATTAGGTATTTTTTTTTTATTTTCTGGCAACTTTAGTAGTAATGTTTGCTAAGACGGCAGGGTTTTTAACTGCAAGTCCGAAACAGGTGCACAGTCCGCTATTTAGTACCTAAATTATACTGTGTATAAGGATGACATTCGGATTGCACTTTTTGCATTACACAACTGTTGATATAATTATGTATAGACTATTATAATGTATATTTTACATTCAAATCAATGATATAATTGTTTTATGAAATGCCTAAAAGTAATTTTGTGTTGTAAAGCGATAATATAATTTATGTAATTAAGTATTTAATTCCTTTTTATCATACTTTCTTTTTTGTATTATAAATTGTAATTTGGTGTCGATATTTTAAAGATTACGATTACTTTTGTTTACTGCGGCCTAATGTGACCCTAATGTGCGGAGGGCCTAGTTTCTGAAATTTTGTATTTTTTTTGATTTACTAAATTATTTGTTTGACGATGATAAAATAAACGTGTATTACTGAATTGATGTCTTTTATATTAAATAATTTTGTTATTACATCGTTTTTAAATTTACCGCGTTGTTAAATTTACGTCAACTACGGACAACAAGTCTTTCACTTGTACACTCTATAAAATAGACAAAGATGCACGGAAAACAGTTTCGAACACAAGACTGTCAAACTTATGTCTGTCTATTATTATGATACTGTGTCTCTGACTTATTAATAAGCATGTTTGAAAAGTTTAAGATATGTGCTAATGTTATGGACTTCAATTTCGTTCAGATAGCTACACAAGCAAACATAGTTATATAAAACTAGCGGCTCGTCCCGGCTTCACACGGGTGTATTAAAATACTATGGGAACATAATGAATCAGCATCCGAAAAAGAACATTCATGTTCAATTAATATCCTAGAGTTTGAAAGTAGACGGACTGAGTTTCTTATGTAATTCTGTTCCACTTCCTTTTGGAAGCCTCGTAGGCATGCCACGACAAACAAACAGACTCTTTACTCTTAACTTACGGAGCTCCGTGGATCGTCCAATGTACCTTTTGGAGAGGTTCCAGCCACGATTTTGTTCGTGTATCTACGGTATTTAATATCGTTGGTTTTACACTAAAATCACTTTCTATTTTGTTATTAAATAGATGAAAATTGAAACGAAACAGATTAATCATATGTAAAATTAATTTATTAAAGTCATGATTTAACAGTAAAAATATCGCAACTCATATCTTAAACATACAGTTTCATTATGGGAGGTGCCACACAGGCGTAGTCGCCGCGTCGACTGAGCGAGCGGTGACTCCGTCGTTCTGCATATAATATCTGAACGACATGGCACACGATGCGTTGAAATGATGCACAGCGACGCAACGCATAAGGAGAGGAGGAGGACGAGCTGGGGTAGGTGAAACAAAGGAGTATTTAAGAAGGCATGAGCGCAATGTATTTTCCATACAAACCTTCTCGACTGATTCCTCCTTGTTTTTTATCACAAAAGAATTTTATTGATTTTCATACAAAAAATATAATTTCACCCATTCTATGCTCCTATGTCTTCTTTTTTTCGATAACTTGTGTTTCAAAGAAACTAGAAGCCTTCGAAAAAGGCCAAAAATAAACAAATTTTTATTACACACAAGACGGTGTGGAGATTTAAGCATTTACAAAAAAAATCAAAACGTAAACGCATAGTGTAACTACTGATTATTCTGTGTGTAAAATGTTTTTACATATATCTAATTTTCGAGGAGGAAATCGTCGAGAGCCAAACCTGAAAATACCCTGGAAATTGCGAATAAAAATTGCAAATTTGGCAATTTATATACGCAATTTTCAGCTTTAACTTCTGTTGTCCCTATCACACGGTACTTGCCAATGCGTGACAGCAATATTTTTTTTCAAATACCTATTTCTCGAATATCTCTCAGCTCTCCTCCGCTCTTAATAACACACCAGGTGACAGTTCTTGCCATAAAATGAGTGCGGAAGATTTTGATTTATCTAATCTCATTAGTAAAAGAACAGCACCGACGCAGTGCTCGTGTGGCGTTCACTACGTTGAAGTCGTTGCGTTGCGACAGCATAGCGGAGTCGCAACGCCCGTGTGGCACCTCCCTAAGTGATATTTAAACTATTTGGTAATTTTCATTTCATCTAACTTAACTTCTAAGGCGTTCAATATTGCTTCGGTGTCGTATGGTACAGCTGAAATGAAAAGACAATAACTTAAATTATTAACTTTTTTGTTTTTTGAAGACGAAGAGAAGTTAAGTAACGCTACTTTTACAGTTTATGTTAACCTAAGTGGAATCCGGTTACGTTGTTCTGATGTGTAAGAAAAGTGTACCGCTACATCTATCGTCACTTTACCAACCTGAACCTTATCCCTTGCCTCGTGGAGCTCTGAACCTTTACTCACCAATATGAAACTAGTAAAAAGTAGTGTTATCTTACTGTGTTCTTCTGGACTTTTTAAGCAAAACATAGGTAGGTAGTATCAGAAGTGTCTTGGGATCGAATAAACTTGTTATTACCCAATCGATATTTATCAAATCTAGTTTTCTGAAGTGGCTTTTACTTTGATTTACAACGTAGGTGCTCGTAAACTTCGTGGCTGATCGACCTTTACACTAGTCATTCACACCAGTGTCATGGTGGAAAAATTTCTTTCGGTACACTATTTTAAATCCAACGTTAAGAGAACAGAGCCGCTTATTTTTCATCCGAGCGAGCGATAATTGAACTCAGAGACTAGTTTGCTAAAATATAAGAATTTTATCTAACCATCGATCGATAGTTTTAGTAGTAGCGTTTATTGATGAAGACTCTATCAATCGATTTTGACGAATCCATGCTTCTTTCAATCGCCTAATTGGTCTGGTAACATCCCAAAGATAAAAAAACATGAAAATTCGGTGTTTTGATTATTAAGTATTTAATTATATAAAGGATACTGATATATCTAAAATTTCTAACAAAAACTTACGTATATTAATCCATTTGTCCATACTGTAGCCGGAGTCCTTTCTTGATTCGTATATGCAGTGTGCAAGGGCATGGTTGACACCGTTTGCTATGCATATTCCCATCTCACCAACCGCTGGAAAATTTAATTACTGTATACCAATATGTCTTTTTACTAATCAAACCTACTTAGTTTTTCGCAAAGGAGCCTAGAAACGTCAGTGTCAGTTTCATCTACATTCTCCCCAAATAGGCACAGAGCATAGAGGTATAAGAATAGAGAGAGGAGATATAGACTCTACTACAGGTGGAAGTGTCCCTTTAATAGAAAGAGAAAGAAGATGAGAGACCGCTAGCTTTCTCTCTCTAATCGCGCATGCGCATTGGCAACCGTAAGCATCTTACTATGTCGATGTGATGCCATTGAATGCCATGCGTCACGAGAGAGAGAGATAGCTAGCGGTCTCTCATCTTCTTTCTCTTTCTACTAGACGGACACTTTAATAGCTACCTTCCCCACTCTATTCTTATACCTCTATGGTACAGAGCCCGCAAAGTGGACTACGGACTACCTTACCTCATTCTTACCATTAATTCTGCATTTCTTTTAAAGAAAATAAGTAAAACCTTGTAAAAAACCTTTACCCATTAAGCTTGCTACGAATGTTATAAGAATCCTTAAACATTTAAATGTGTAACAGCAATGCGCCAGCCAACTTAGCATAGTGAATATTGATATGATAAAGTTGTTTGCCACTTAAATGTAAATTTTAATTTCCCGTCAATGGCCAGCTTTAACTAAAGTTAATAACTTCCCCAATCAAAGTTCAAAGGAACTCAACTAGCTATTCTGCCTGTTAAAATAACATACGTTAAAAAGAATTTTTACCCTTAGCTCCCAAAACACCTTTAGGGTTCTTGGAATTATACCGGAGTTTTATATTTAACTCTGCTGGGATATCGAGCGCTAACGGAACATGGTAATTGATAGAGCGATTGGTGAGCAATTTTCCTGTCTTTTTGTCGTACACAAACTTCTCACACATAAAGTATCCCAGCCCTTGAACGTAACCGCCTTCCACCTGAAGAAAATGATTGGATTGATTATACCTTCGGATAGGGACACAAAAATTAAAAGAAAATAATATGATCGGCACCTGCTGTTTAATGAACAAACGGTTAAGTTTTTGGGAATGGTTACCTACCTGACCAACATCCAAACTGGGATTAGCGCTCAAACCCACATCTTCCAATATGTCCGATCTGAGCAACTCGAATTGCCCAGTCAATACATCCAGCTGGACTTCCAAAATAGCGACAGCGTAAGCATTATATCCGGAAAGATCTGCCTCCTTGTCTGTCATCATGTAAATCGCAGTTAGATCAATTTCTTCGTCGCTCGCTTTCTTAATTAGGTCCTCCCACTTAGGATCCGTCATCTTTGCCCTTATCGGCTCCAATCTTTTATTAAGAATCTGACATGCTTTGATTACAGCATAGCACGCACTTTCACTTGTTATGCTGGATCCGGAAAATACGTTATTGGCAGCAGTAAACGAATGGTGGGGTAACACACTCACATTTTGGAGCGGTATTCCCAATTCGTAAGCACACACTTGGGCAACTTTGGTGTTACAACCTTGTCCCATTTCTATGCCACCCGTAGTCACTGTTACTGTGCCATCTCCTCTGTAAATGCTGACCATACCACTATAGTTTCCATAGAAAATCACGGGAAAACTCATCACGTTGACACTGATGGCCTTTTTCATCCATCTGTTGGCTTTGTTAAATTGAGCGATGTCATTCGCTCGTTTGTCATAGTCGGCTTCCTTTTTGAGCTCATCAATGAGATATGGTATGTCATTGTCTTCAGTTCTCATGTTCAGTTTGCGGACCTCGGTTGGATCCTTCTTGACAGCAAACGCTATGTGCTCCATAATTTGTTCTATACATGCAATACCTTCAGCAGTACCTAAAAAGTTATAGAGTGTTATTTGAATTCAGCGGTGCCTATGATGTAGCTCTAGCTATTTGCTTAAACTTTATAGGTTCTTCAATAGTAAATAAAATCGTAATTATGTAATAAGTTATTTGTTTATGGTGTATGCTCCAATATTTTTATTTTTTGAAGCATTTAACTGACAGATGCCCCATAAGTTAAGAAAACTCTACTAGAAAATACTCCACTTGGACCAGGCAGCAGACAGGACTCGAACCTGCACCCTTCGCTATTCAGACCATTATGCTACCGCAGCCCTGATTGCCGTATCGAATTTTAGTATTTCTTAGGCCGCGATCTCTTCGTGTTGTTGTAGGTCACCCACGTAATGTCAATTGAATACCTTTACAAGTATTAAACATTTAAAGGAAGAAATAGCAATTATAGTTATATTCTTTTTAAGAATTTAACTGCCAAAGAAAACTCTCATAGAAAAATCCGGTTGCTGCCTGGTCAGCGTGGAGTTTTTTCTAGTAGAGTTTTCTTTAGATTTGCGTATGTTCTTGTTCGACCAATAACTGACAAAAACATTGCTTGAATGCTGCCTTATAGTAACAAAAAACAATCCATGGGTTTATCATATTTCAATTAAGATAAACCCTTTTTGTAAAAACTTATTCATCACTCAAGACTCAATTTGTCAGTTTTGAATAACTGACCTGTGGTCTTCTGTACATTAGCTATATCCATACTAATATTATACAATGCGAAAGTGTGTCTGTCTGTTAACTCTTCACGCTTAAACTACTAAACCGATTTATATGTAAAAAGTAGGTAAAAATGTTTAATAATAAAACAATAATAAATATAATAATATCTAAAACGAACCTGGGGCTCTACAGAAGGAATTGGACGGCAGATCAGTGAGCACAGATGCCGTCTTCAGACTGTATGTACTCGTGTCATAGCAGTTGGGGAATCCCCCTGCAGCGTAACTTAGGATGTTCTCGTTGTGGGAGCTCCCATCGTCTTCGACCATGATGGCATTGAGGTATTGGATTTTACCATCATCGTCAACGCCGACCTGGAGTTTAAAGTAATATTTGATACTTTCGATATTTTTTATGCAGCGAATTCAAACCCGAATACTGATAGTATGGTCTAGTGTATGTGATCTCTTTACCTTTAGGCATATGATAAAAAATCAACCTAATCAGCCTCAAAGCAGGTTGGGGCTGAAGGATTCTTCTTTATTGCAGGCGAAGATATATAAATAGAAGAAGGGAGACCCAAATACCTGTATTTTACAAAAACAGGCAAAAGGACATTGCTCGTTCCCCATACATTGAATGCCCTAGAACGCCCAACAATGAAAAAATGCTAGTTGTGTTCGGAATCATTCATAAACTCTAAATAAGCATTTGTTGAGATACGGACAACTTGAGGAACCGTGGCCTACTGAAGAATGTATTAGATCTGGAGGTTATAATTATTATACTTAATCGTAAAAGATGTACTCTTTATATATTCTGAATAGATTTAGTGTTTACCTCTATGTAAGCACTTAAATAATATGCATTAAATGAACATAAATTAATAAAAATAATAAATGCTTATATTCATATTGATTTATGAGTGTTGTTAGTTGGCACCTATGATACCTACCAGTAGTAATGATAGATTTCTTTTCAAATGAAATGTTCAGTCTTTCCATTTACCTGTTTCTATATTTTACTATCGGTAATTAGGTATGTACCTGGTTATCATTATGATTTTCATAAAAATAAACAGATATTACATGGGACGGGAGTATAAACTATCTTTAGATAATTTCAGAAATAATCTTTTTATAAATATAATATAAATACTAGTAATAAGTATTATTAACTAAGGTACCTAGTTCTATTTTTATGTTGATAAATACCTATGGTCGCCTATATTGCATTACTAAGGTAAACAATCTTGGCACAACTTTTTAACAGAATCACCCATTTCAATAAAATATTAACGAAGCCAATAAACTATTAAAATAAATCGGTATTATAGACTGAAACCTATTGAATCCAGTTATCAGTTGATTTTTAATGCTGTATTTTCAATAAAAAGGAGTGCCAAGTTGGATGAACAGACTGTAGTATCTAGTAACAGAACTTTTATTTTTTATTTTTTTAAACAGATTGTCCGTTTACTATGATTAATTGCTAATAAGTTAATAAAATAATAGATCAATAATAGTGAAGGGCATTCTTTTGGGCATGCTAGGGCCGATTTCGTCGATGTCCTTTGGAATTTTGTAGAGCCAGATGCTCTGCATCCACTTACGTGGAATTAAGGAATGCTACAACGGCCCAGGAATCTTCTCTACTGCTACACTACACGGTGGGACAAATACAGTTGTGCTGTCTAATTTTTTTACATTACACAATCTGGGGAACTAGCATGAGAGTATTTCTCAATTTTCGAATCTAATATTTATTCTAACTTTTATAAAACAAATTGCTCTTGCAGTGGCACCTTCGTGATTTGCATTTTACATTTGTAAACCCTGAATTTTTAGTTACCTGAGAAAAACTTACTAGTGAATTCAGCCAAAATAGTTATAGGTATATCCACAAAACAAAAACTTAAAATTAATTTTCGAAATGTCTATGGTAATGGTGTATGGTAATGTAAATTGTTGCGCCTTGATTATAAAAAAGTCTTGATGTTGCTATATAAGTTTCGTCTCTGGAAGTATCAGGTTACCTCATAATCACACTGGCAGGGAAGCCGGCGGCCGGCGATGGTGAGATTGGTCTGCAGTGGCAACACAAACCGACAAGGCGTGTTGGTCTTCTTGGCAACGATCGCACACGCAGCCACAGCCTGCACGTTCCTACTGATCTTACCGCCGAATCCACCGCCCAGGCGGCGAACTTTTACCACGACACTGGACAATGACATTGTATGAATTAGCTTTCATCAGTGAATCATTAACACAGGAGAAGAATAGTAGATGTAATTAAAAGCGTGACGTAGCTTTGTGTAGGCGGCACTTTTGCGGACCGGTTTTTTTATAAATTCCAGCAGCACCTACAGCTTCAATACAATTGTCGAATATGCATCATTTTTGATAAATTATTGTCCGTGATTGGGAAGGTCGTTACCACTTGCCAATTAGCAGCACTAGGCACGCCTACTCCCGATTGCGCTTTCTAGCCCAGTCACTTTAAAGTTTCACCTCGGAATTTGAGATAATAAGCTGGAAACTCGTACACAGCTTCATTTTGGCTAGCAAAGTCTTGCTCCAGCTGCGAGTACATTAATAGCTAAGGCTGACGGAGATGATCAACCATCTTATGATTGGCCATTGCGACAGTTGATTAACTTCTATAACAGTGGTCTGGAAGCACAACTCAATCGGAGCTCTTTTTATGTAAAAAGGATGGCAATCAAGCATGGCCAGCTTAATTTTAAATAGAGATCGGATGAGAGGTATGTCAGGAGAATCTAAATGATTCCTGATCATCTGGCAACACTAAGTGGAGCCCTGGAACCTGATATTCATCGACAGAAATACACACACAAGAAGTAGTAGTAAGAGCTCGCCATAAGTCCATTTATATAAAAACAAATAATAATAAAATAACAATATCACACTTGTTATAACAAATTATAATACAGGCAAACAGTAGGTTTTATGCATAATGAATATCGCCCGAAATATGGTGAGTAAATTTGCGAGTGCTGACGACAATAACCTACTTTAACCAAATTATGCAACAGAACAGGTGGTTAATGCGACTTGAACGAATTCTTTATTTTTATGATTCATAGTATGGTTGGGGAAAATTTTCTTCCAATTTTATATGAAAATTCAAAACATTTTTCAATAAAGTGTGTTTACATTTAACTAAAGTATGTAGGTGCTATCTTGTTCGATTACTTTTTGCCATCTTGTAGGTAGGGACATGATCCCATTGCTGTAGAAATTTCTTGGCTTCTGATCAAAAACCGCGAGAAATGGTTTTGGTAGTCATCTGACACTGCCTGAAGAATTCTGAAGAGACCGAAACAGGTGAAAATCAGATAGTGCAAGATCAGGACTATACGGCGAATGGATTAACAGCTCCCAGTCAAACTCTCAAGATTTTTGCTATGTGGTTAAAAATGTGTGAGGTCTAGCATTATCATGGTGAAAAACCACAACCCTTCTGTTGATAAATTCCGGCCGCTTTCTCTTAACTTCTTACTTTAATCTCATCATTTGTTCGCAGTAAAGTTCAGAATCGATGGTCCTGCGTGGCGGTAACAGCTCATAATGAGTAATGCCCTTCCAATCCCACCATACACACAGCATCACCTTGATACGAATGAACCCGGGTTTGGAATCCATTTTATCCGTTGTTACGGATAACTATACTAGAGTGACGTGCATCTTTGTCATTAAAATTTTCGGTTTGTAATACCTAAACCAAAGTGCTACTCTCACAGACACTGCACTAGGTCCATAAACATCACAATTTTTTTTTTGGGGCTTACATTGCATTTCCAACTTTTTTGTAGTAAAAATTTTAAAATGCATCGATATGCTTCATTAGATTCACTTATCTTGACAATAGGACAAACAAATGAAAATCACACATTTCTCTAACTTTAATTTGGAATTATCTTCTTTAAAATTTTAACTTTTTAATGATACCAAAACCAACCAGGTACAAATGGTATAGCCAAAGAAATTTTATTACAAGTTCATACATACTATAATGCGAAAAGACTTTTTCCCCAACCTATTATGTAATCAAATTTGCGTAAAATATCTAGGAATTTTGGGAAAACCTAGGTAAATGGACAACGGCGATGACATTTCTCAATCTTTCTGAAAAATTATAGGATTTTTGTAAATACTCTCAGTACAATTGCGAAAAGAATCGTTGGCTTAGTATAAGTATTCTTGGATTTTTGGGTTCACACTAGGTTATTTAAGTGTTGTGACAATGACGCGCGAGCCGAGCGAGCGTAGCGAGCGTGCGGCGGCAATGGCCGGCGAAGTGACAGAAAAAAAATCATTAACAGCAAACCCATTTCGCAAAATCCCCAGGATTTTCACGAAATTTTGATTTATCATATCAGCCCACGAAAACTGAACTTTATTGACTGCGTTGACTATCCTTTTCCAATCCTTTTATTATCTTATTGTAATTAATTATCTGCATGCAAAAACTATTTTTTAATAATTCCAAAAAGAAGTATAACTTCTCACGCGCGTACTTAAGTACACGCACCCATATTTTTTTTATAGATAGGTTCGACAAATGACTCCACCCCACCTGATGTTAAGTGACGGTGAAGTCCAGACGCGAAGACAGCTGATACAGCAGTTCTTCCTGCCACGCCAGCTATCCTCACCCTGCCGGCATGTTGCTTCTCCACGCCTCGTTTAAAGGATCCCAGGTTATTAAGAGTGAGAGAATACGTGAGCGGGCAGAGCATTCCATTTACGGACAGTGCCACAAAGAAATATTTTACAATCACCGATAGAAAAATATTTTAACTAATATTTCAGCTACAGAGATGTATCTAAGTGACGTATTTATGCATATTTTTACAATCGTTATATCTCAGCAACGGTGGCTTTTAGGAAAAAAAATATTAACACACATTTTTTTATAGATAATTTTATGATCTGCAATATTTATATGAGATAATAATTTTACGATAAAACATTCCGTTTGGATGAAAAAAGTGAAAATATTTTTTGTTTACCTTTGACCTTGACTTTTTTTTCTATATACCGGAACGATTGGGAATTTTGATATGTTATTTTGAATTACAGCTTGAATAATTAATAATGAACACTATCGACATGGTTTATATGAATGATAAATGACAGATTAGAAACAAAAGCAAAAACAAATGCGGTAATTTCGCAGTTCCTTATTTGAAAGTCTCCTTTTTCAAATTTGATTTTTGTGATATAACTTTACAATAACTAAGAAGTTTTAATAGCCTCATTTAAGAAGTATTTGATTGTGTTTTAATAAGAATTTATTTCAATAAGCTAATAATATTAGTTTGCGAGATTTTTAGGATTCTTTAAATCACGCGGATTCATTGCTCTCGAGTGTATTATAATAATTTAATTTTCTTTAATATTATTATCTCACAACTATTTAACGTTTTTATTTTTTAATTTAATTTTCTTTTACAATGCTAAATTAAATGAAGCTAAAAGTTACGAAAGTTAAAGTACGCCGGGTCAGCTAGTTGGTGATAAAAATTTGTTTATTTTGGCATTTTCAAGTTCGTTTCTAGTCGTTTTGAAACATTAATTTGATTACGGAAGTTACGTACCGTTATCAATTTGTAATGAAAAAAATTTGATTACGCACTCATCTCATATATCACTTTGCACTCGATACAATAATCGATAATAGACGTTATGATAAATATGTCGAAATCTCGAGAAATTGCTTAAAGCAGAAATTGGTTTGACAACGATGAATTTAGCAAAGTGATTTGTTGACACATTTATGTTGAGTTTTCGATGCCGTTGATATGTGCCGTGAATACAGTTGTGTTATTTCCGTAACAAAAAACTAAGAATAACATTCATCCAAAGCAATAAACAAAAAGTATCATACGTACTCGCTTTCTTTTATGCCCAGACATTGAGCTATGGCAATTTGCGTCAAATCCATCCACTGCGATGAGTCATACACTTCCAAAAACCCATCAACAGGAATGACCACCGAGCTAATTGGCTCCATATAGTAATGGTATTGCGCTTCTATCTCATAAATTCCTTTGATTACTTTCTTTATATTAGTTCCTTTGCTTTTAGGTTCTATACCACTGTCGGAAGGAGCGTATCTTTTGCTATCTTTCTTAGCTTCATCTATGGTAAGTACGGGAGCTGCAGCGCTGACATCTCTATAAGTGATCTCAAGTTGTTTGGCAACTTTGGCTGCCAACTCTTCGCTTGTGGCAACAACTATCGCCACAGGTTGACCATGAAATTTGATTTCGGTTGCGAGTATTTCTTCATCTTCGATTTGCAGCTGAAAACCAGGCCGCGTGAACGAATTTTTGCCTGGAATATCCTTGGCCGTGTAAACAGCTACTACGCCATCTATTTTCTGTAAAGTAAGTTTTTTCGGTTTTGTAATTTATTTACAAATAGTCGACGACGTGACTCCATCTGTGTATTAGTAGATACACTTCCATTCACTCCGTAATAAAAAAAATCAGACTCCACAGCAGGTTTTCAATTGTTCAGTGGACCAGAGGGCATGTTATTAGGCTGGTTTCACACGTACCGCAACCACGCTACGCCGTCGCCGCGTAAAAGGTGGTCAACCTGTGGTTACATGTTAATAGCATCGCTGCGGCACTTACAAAGTGTACTTGTGGTTACATTGTCGCTAGTGATTGCGTAGCGCACATACAGACAGCTCGACTCAATGTTATATTAGTGAGGGCAAAACGTGGTCTGTTTTAACTAATCTATTTGAACTTAATACAAATTAGCACCCGCCCACGTGTTGTGGGTGTGATACGTGTGAAACAAGCCTTAAAATCTACAATCGAATTTCTACAGCATTTATATTAACGATTTTCGGGAAAACTACAACTCCTATCGAAAACATTTCAATGGCAAAATTGTAGGTAATGAAAAGATCTACAACTTCTGTGTTTACACTCTTTAGTACGTTTTTAATAACCCCCTCCTTTAAAAGGTCGAGAATCGTTACGAAGCATTTGCATTTTCTGAGAAATGTGATGTATATTTTTTGTCTATCATCAGAAACAATGGGTTCCAAAAAACAAAAAGCACACCAAACTTATTTAAAAATCTACTTTTTTGACGGGAGATGTTCTAATTGAAAATAAGGAAAAAACAATGTTTTCAATTGAAATCATTAGAACTTTTTTTTAGGACATAAGAAGGTAATTTTTCACCAAATACAAACGTTTTTCTTTCTTTATTTCTAATAGGAGACGAGTATTTTTTTTAGAAATAGAATTACCGATGTTTTTTGACAGTTAAGGCGGAATTAAAAGCACTATAAAGTGGTAGTTCGCAAAGGAATACTCTCAATTGGTTACTCAAAATTAAGTAAAATCATTGACGTAATAAAATTCAAATAAAGGTGTTTTAATACCAAATAAAGTTATACCAAAATAAGCAAACAGCTATGCAAATATTTTCAACTGCCAAAACGAAATATTCGTACCCAAAGAGGTTAAATATTTTGTTTTCCAGGTAAATATGAAGTTTTTCAGCTGTTTAATTAAAAATTGATAAAGATAAATTACCATTTAAAATGTTCGTTCTCCAAAATAACGTTATTCAGTCGATCGCTCTGGTGCTTTTTTGTTCTTAAATAGTTTAATATTTTAGTTATTATTGCAAATAAGAAATCGGATGAGAACATGTTTTTTCTTATTGTCCCTCATTTTCTGCAAACGGTTTATGAGATATATGTGTTTGAAATTAAAGCAATACTATAAAATATAGAAAATCAATTAATTTAAATAATATATTTATTATATTACAAGCAGTCACGGAGAAAGAACACTCTTCACTGTCCTTTTCATTTTCCCGAAGCGGCTAAGGGAACTCGGAGTTTCCATCCCCTCTACTGGTGCCAGGGCGCTCAACGCCGGCCTGGTTAGTTCGGTGGTAACTAATGTGCATTGTGTAAAACTCCTGACGTGCTCCTTGAGCCTGTTTCGCGGTCAGCCAGCGTAACACCAGAGCTCGAGTGGGGGTTTGCCGCGACAGACTTTGTCCAGGGGAGACATCTGTCGAACCGATGCCGAGAGGATTGCATCGATTCGCCGGTCAGGGAGACCCGTTGAAACTCACAGTACAGGGTTCCGAGCGATCCTAACCAGTTCGCCAAGCTACCGCATCATGCTATGCATAAACCCGGGGTGAACCATCGTGTCGGTTTGGCGGAGTCCGGGGCATGGCGCCCCGGCGGCCACTCCCTGGAGGTACGGAGGCCCTTTGCATCCGACCAATCGGAGCATCTCCTCTTTAGAAAGTCACTCGGGGAAACTAGCCTCGCTTTATATACCCGGTTTTGTAGCGACAGCATCCATTCGTATTTGTAGCTGCTATTGTGGAGGATGAAGAGACGTATCTCGTCATCCTCCACAATAGCAGCCACAAAAACAAAGTTCGGACGTTTTGATGCTCACCACAGTTTGTGGTTTGATTCCTCCAAATCTGACCACGCAGGCTCACGCATTCGCTCTCACGTATGACTTGTAGCAACTGGTTGAACATCCTACCAGGAGTCCAGGTATACCAAGACAAGCGCCCTCTTTGTTGGACCTTTTGCTAATGACTCATCCACATGACTGTCAGGTTGTGGTTAGAGCCCCACGGGGCTTATTGCCTGATATTTGCCGAAGCGCTACAAGCCAAGCCTCCGTGTCCAACTGTGGTCAAACGCCGGATTTGGCACTATGGGTCGCCAGATTGGGACGGGATGTTCGACTACTTTGCATCCGTCCTTTGGAAGCAGCGCTGCTTCAGTGTTAGAGATCGGCCAACGCCCTTGCCATTACAGGAGATTTTAATGGGTATGGTACTATAATCCTCATTCTGATCTTATCAGTAACTGATAAGCTAGCTGGTTCATCGCGATTGTGCTATAGCTATTTCGCGTAAGCAAGCGGCATATCGTGCTTGGATTAGAGGCCGCTCTCTTAAATATCCCGGGGTCGAATCACTAAAAGCAGCCTACAAAACTGCTTCCAAGTCCTGCAAGAAGGCTGACATCAGAGCGGATACCCAGCGCGTTGCACGTGTTGGCCACGAATTGACAACGCATCCCATTGGCTTCCGCAGTTATTGGCGTTTGGCCAAGGTCGCGTATAACAATTTTGCCAGCCATCGCTGCTAACTCATAAGCCGCAAGAAAAAACCGATTTACTGGAAAAACTCTTTGCGACTAACTGCCAAATCAATGATTGCAATGCACTGCCACCATCATTACCTCATTTACACCATAATGTATACGTCCAAGGTATTCTGCATGCCAAACTACAATAAACAATATTTGTTTCTTAGGTTTTCACGCACATCACTCATTAAATAAAACTAGTTTTTACGGGTTAATGCACGAAACTTTATTTATTTATTGACGTTTCGCAGCCTTTTCAGGTCTGCATCGTCAGAATAATGATTTTTTATTTAAAATTGTGGAGCTCTCTTGAGTTTGTTTCGCCGGTTCTTCTCAGGAAGGTCTCCCAATTTTGGAACCGGTGGTAGTTTACGGTAGTTAGGGTCAAATAAATAAATAAACTTAAAATTACAAACAAGAATTTTAAATAAAATACTTTATTAAGCAAATTAAATAATAAATTCATACATAGACAATAAAATTTTAAAAATCTTCCAATGAAATAACCGAACGCTCAATATAAGTCTTTCGAAGGTAGCTCGACAATTTTAAATAAAAAATCATTATTCTGACGATGCAGACCTGAAAAGGCTGCGAAACGTCAATAAATAAATAAAGTTTCGTGCATTAACCCGTAAAAACTAGTTTTATACAATAAACAATATTTTAAATAACAAAATTTTAAGAAGTCGCTATTTTTTTCGTTTGTAGAAGTAGCCCTAAGTTATACGCTTTAGTCATTACGTCCTTGTTTTTAAAATTCTACCAATACACAAAACCGAGAAAAAAGATAGCACATAATTTAGGTGGATGTTGTTTTCAATAACTTTTTCCTTCTTATGTTTCTTAATAGAATATATATCAATGGAGATTGGATAAAATCTGAATGCACAGCATTTGCTATTTTTTGGGGAGATCATTTAAACAAATAATGACTCTTTCATTCAATTTCAATATTTCGTATTGAATAGAAATACGGCCGCAAAAATTTGACCTGCTTAAAGAAAATTGTTCGACCTGATTTGCTGATGTGCAAGCTTAATCCTGCACTGTATGTAAGTATTTGAAGTGACAATTTGAAATATCTACTCACCAGAGCTTTCTCGGTATTCACACTGTTCACTTTCCCACTAGCTACAGTTGAAAGTGCAAAAGCTCCGAACACTTCGTGTGGCATGGGGGGTACATCATTAGCGAACTGTGCCTCTCCAGCGCTTTGTATCATGGCTTCCAGCTTATGGACCGGCTGATTGAGCGGAAACAAGGACTTGTCTGTCTGATAGTCCTGATGGCCTTTGGAGACGGGTCGCTTTATCAATTCACCTCCTGATCTATTGCGAGGGGCGGCATTAGATGATGCTAAGTTTAGCATAAACTGTAAGCATAAAAATTTTATTGTTGTCATTTTTGCTATCGATTCTATTTGTTGTAATTTTTGTTATGTCAGCATGAAGTAAGAATAACTTTGTGTTCTTTTTTTATCTATTGTGGAATTGGCAATTCATCAAAGTTGGACACAAATATAAAAGTACTATAATGACATGTCTAAATAACTGCACGATATCATTAGTTGTTAGAAATACTTAGTTAATGTTCTAAATATTTAAATAATGATTACATTTTGGATGTAAATATTCACGCCCAATCTGTACTTAATTCTCACCTTATAGAATAGTCCAATCGCCAATTTCTTCCTGCATTCAGGAGATTGCTCCGGAGGTCTTTTCTTCGGAATTATTTCGTTTTTTAATAAAGCGATAGCACCTTGGACAGTCTCGTCTTTTAAATAATTCTTCCCTTTTAAGAAGGCTTCTGTCTTCGAAGCGTGTATGAAGTCAGGCGAGATGTTTGCGTATACAATCTTGGCATCGTTAATGATGTTACACTTACGATCAACTTTTAACATGAAACAACAGTTCACAATAGCCAATGCGTTTTGATGGCGAGGCATTATCTGTAATAAAGTAACCAATTACCTACTACTATAGTATTTTTTGTTTAACTTTAATTGTTTGTGTGAATTTGAAAGACTTTGTGGCTGTATCAATAAATATTGTTCATTTTGTTTAGTTAAAATATATTTAAATAAATTGCACTATAACGGATGATTGTTAATAGTAGATGAAAGGATTGTTAAATCTTTAAAATAAATATTTTAATTCATCATCATAATCAGCTACTCTACGTCCATTGCTGACCATAGGCCTCTTCCATTTTTTGCCAAAAAATAATATCTTAGTGAGATCTATTATTAACATTTCTCTAATACCACTGAGATATGATATCGATTTATGTAAAATTCACATTGATGCCGCAGCTGGCGCTCATTCATTCAGCGCATTCGCATACCGATATGTCTGCCAATAAAATCTACCTGCAATTACTTCAGTTACTCCGTGGTCATGGCGTTTGCCGAAATATGAAAGACTCATAAGAAAACAAGGTACATGGTAACAATCCAGTTGATAACTATAAATCTAAAACATTTATAACATCGGATGAGACAATACATAAGTTTGTCTATACTTTTTAAGTTTAGCAATAAATGACTCACTTTATAACTTTTAAAAATCCACTCAGAAGAGTTGAGAGGTGGGAGCGCCACTGACAGCATGAGCCGACCCCGCATGTCGTACTTTAGAAACTCCCTCATTGTCAACTTTTTCTTAAAACCCTGATTATCACCTAAAAATAAAATTTCCTAATAATAGTTTTTTATGCAATTGTCATATAATAACAATTTTTTTAAATCCCTTCCGCGCCAAGAGTTTTCTCATCAGACACCACAATTTTCACCGCTAGATGCGTATTATTATGTATGTACAACAGCGCCGAAACTTTTCATGAATTTTTGAAGTTCTTAGACCGCCCCATGATTTCAAAATCTGTTATAATTAGGTATTAAAACGCTCATGTGATAAACCCACATTCGAGTTTTATTACCTCTCTTTATACAACAGTTGAATGATTAACTATTTTTTTATTATTATGACATTGGATGTTATAATGTTGGCGATACGCTTACTGTTTCGCAATTTTTAATAGCGGTTTTACAGCATGGGTATAGAAAAATACTTATTTCTAACACTCACGCCGTAAGGCGTGTGTTATGGTATACTAACTAAAGTTACGTATATTTATCTAGAAAAATATCCATGACTTAGGTAGAAATATGCTCGCATTCATCATACACAAACATTTGCCGCACCGGGATTCGAACCCGTGAGATCTGACTAGGCGACACCTTGAAACCCGGCGTAAGTACATACCACTCGCATCATGGAAGTCGTCCAAGGTCAGAGGTCACAAGTAACCGTTAAGACTATAGTCTAGTTATTATAATAACACCTTAAAAATAAGGAAGCTGAGGTAATTAATAAAGCTTAGAGAGGTGGAATACAGATGAAAACTTACGAACTGTGACGATAGCACCGACTGTTTCGAAGAGTATGAAAATATCAGACTGGTAGTCTGGCATGGCTTGACGCAGCATCAGATTACCGGCTATAGAACCAATCTGAAAATATAAGGGTAGAGAAGTATATATGTATTGGAGAACATCGAATAATGCATGTGTATATCCTAGCTTCTACTTCCGGTTCTGCGAGTTCATGTGAAAAGAATGGTAAACAAGCATATTTGTTCTCATGTAATATTTAGCAGCTATGGCATCCTTCAGACACATTTTTATTTATGGTGAAAGTGAGTTTGTTCTTACAGAATACGACTAAATCGAACTAATCCTGTGGGATTTCCCCCCCTTAAAATTCTAGCGAGTCCATTCCATTGTGGTACACCTCTCATATAGTAATAAAAAACATAAATAAATACCTAAACATTAAAACGTACATTTCTCACGGGTAAATTTGCTATAAGATCGAAGTGTTTAGCAAATTCTGCCAAGTAGCTAAATTCATATCTCGTTTGAGCAGTTTCTTTGAAGAGTTTGATGCTGTCTTGCAAAGAAATATTGGCGCCGAGGATTAGGTTCTGGTCGAATTTGTAATTCTTTAAGGACTTGACACCGCTAACGTCTATTAGTATGCGGGGATAATCAAAGTCTTCATATAATCCTGAGGAAATTCAATGATATGTTAAATGTTTAGTACCATAAAGTAAAATCAAAACAAAAAGAAAGGCCATTTGTGCACAACTCGGCACATCTTCAAAAATTCACCTTACCTTTCCCTGTATTTCCGTCAATGAGCATGTAAGAGTCGACACCGTTCAGCTGCAGTATCCTAAAGATTTCTTCTTCAGTGTAAACCTTATAGTATTTTGTGTTCTTATCAATAGCCAATGAAATAGTTTCTTCTTCTGAATAGCGTTCCGGTGAGTCCTCGTATAAAAGGCTCCAATCACTGTCCGTGCTATTGACTGAGCATTTTCGTTCGCAAGGAGAGTTTGACTTCTGGCATATGTTGAGTTCTTCTATGTCCCTGACCTTCTGGCAGAGGTCGGGGCTCGCGTCTACGGCGAATGATTTCACGGTGTCCATGATAGGTCTGAACCCCGTACACCGGCATGTGTTACCTGCGAACGCTCTCTCCATCTCCATCATGCTGAGCTGTTTGTCTTGTACGCTGTTGGATTTCAATAAATTCAAGTACAACAATGATTTCAAGTTATATCTAAAAGATCAGAGACTTTTATTAGTCTTTTTCCTCTATAACATCATAAACAAGGATGGTATCTGACTTTAAACTCACATCTTTGATCTCATAACGAAATCAATTTATTTGTACTTTATCATATTTCCTTCTTTTCCTACTTATATTATAAATGTAAAAGTTTGTATGTTTGTAACTCAACCACGCAAAAACAGCTGAACGGAATTGCATGCAATTTGGTACGCATATAGGTTATGACCTGGATTGAGACTTAAGATACTTTTTATCCTGGAAAAAAATATTGACTAAAAACAACACTTAGTGGAAATATTATTCCACTGTAAGAGAGATCTTAAAACACTTTATGGGACATTACTGACTATTCAGTCATTTAGAATCGTTTTGTTAAGCAAAGATTTGGTCGTCACCTGTACAAATTCATGGCCCAGCCAGGTGTGCAGTATCCACATTGTGTGGCATTGAAGCCCACTATTCTCTTCTGGATTTCGCTGTATCCGTTCTTTCGGTCGCCGAGACCCTCTATCGTAGTTATGTCCCAGCCGTGACACGAAAACACCAGCACCAAGCACTAAAAATATAGTAAATGAATTAATAACTTATTAGCGAGTTCCCGCGAATCACACGATACCAGAAGAATTCAAAAAAAAAGAAGCCCAATGAGCGTGTGGCGGCGACATCTACATACCCCACATATAACCAAAGGATGGAGGAAATAATCACTCGCCTCTTCAAGAGATGGCGCTACCGGCGCTGCGATCAATAAGTATAAGCCTACATCGCGCAAGGGTAATTTGGAGGCAAACACTTAATATATGCAACGCTCGACCAACATCACCTTTGGCCTTTGGCCTTGCTGCAGGTGCATTGAATATAAAAAAATTAAGGTCGAATGGACCATGACAATGAGGTCCTAAAGGCACTTGTTCCCTTACACATATTAAATCAAAGATATTTCAAAATTCTAAGGCCGCTACGAACTATACAACTATATTATAGGAGATAACGTTATCATTTTATTATTTGATTTGCTTAGAACAGTAGTTCAATCAAGGAGCTCAAAAAAGTGCCTTCGCGCATTTTATGAAAATCTTACTCTGCAATTTTGGGTTTAATTAAAAATTAAGCAAAATTTATAAAAAAGCGAGGCTTCTACGAACTAGGCCAATAGTTATTCTACACTATTCAATAGGTCAAAATTGTTAATGTATCTTTGTTTCTGAGATCAAGAACGCCAATTTACGCAAAAATCACAGTCGAGATGTAATATGCCTATTAAAGGTCCAGTGCGTACAAGACCGGATATTTTCATAAATGACTTTTATTAGTAGCCTTCGCCAAGGTTCAATTTCATTTATCTGTTCCGAAATTCATTTAAAATGTGTTCGTTTTTTTGAGTTCTACTTCGTATTCGAGTTGCCATATTTCTATTAGAGGATAACCCGTAATAGAAATTTGATATGTTATGATATCGGTTTTAGAAAATGTGACATAAAATATTCGACGGGTTACTCGACGGCTTACAAAATAGACTCTATAACTTAATTATTTTAATTTCTTCAAAAATTATTCAAAAACGGTTTTTATTCTATCATTATACTTTTACATACACTGAAAAATTACACCTTTTCAGCTTCACAAGCAGTTCAATTTAGTAAGAACAAACTCACTTTTCACATCGTAACCCCGCGGTGAGTTACACCACGCCACAATTATAAAATTTTAACATGAATTTCAAATCATTCGCGGTGAAAAGTGTCTTTCTTCTTACAGAATAGAACTACATGCTTTGCTTATACACGTTTAGGAGCAATTCAAATAAACCACGCAAAGAAAACGGCTCATGTTACGCGTAATTTGTGCGTGACTCGATTGTTTAAAAGTAGTCAATATGTAAAAGTAGTCAATGTAGCGACGAGCTTATCTACCATATGTAGTAGATATTTTTAAGGGTGCAGTTAATACGGTATCTAGGCGTGTCTAATCAAAGGCTTGGATAGGGATTTCCATCATACTCACAGAATTCACAGAGAACAGCTCAACTCTGCCGCTGGGCTCGCGACGCGCGCGCACCGCCACTATGCATGCTCCACAGCCACCCTCACGACACATCGCCTTTGTACCAGGCAGAGCCAACTGGTACCGAATGTAAGCATTCAGCGTCATGCCCCGATATGGCTGCTCGTACACTGAAACCAGAAACAGTTTTACCCAATGGCGTAGCTAGATATTTTTCCTAAAGGACAGTCGGACGACTGTGAATTGAACTTGCATTATTGTGAAATTAATAAACTGCAAAGTAATTTTTCAACACTCAAATTTTAGGGTGGACCAAGAGGTTTTTAGGGTGGGTATTGCCTACCCTCGCTTGCCCTTAGCTACGCCCATGGCTTTACGTCAGCTTGCTAGCAGTCAAGGTTATGGCTGAAGGATTGACTGATGACTTTTCCGTCGCCATCCCTGTTCTATCATTTATGTCTGATGGTATTAACTTACGGCTGCACGAGCATCTAATGGACGCCTATGTTGGTTCAGATATTGCGTCGAAGTTATCACTTGCATTGGGGTTACTATTCCTAGAATGTTGGAAATGTAGATTTGGAGCCAACATGGATACCTTCATTTGAAGTCAAAGTTAGGAGTTGGCCTGAATTGGTAAAGCGCTCACAGAAAAACTAAGTAAATACTTTTGAGAATGTAAATAGAGGGGTGACGACTGTGATCCAGTGATTAATAACGATTTAGAAAATATTTTTTAAATTGTTATTTTATTAAATTATTACAATTATAAATCTAAATAAATTTGTAGTAGAAAAAATCTGATGCCTGTCTTGGAAGTGTTTTTGATATTTTTTTTCTTTAAAAATTGAAATTGCTCCACTTGTATGTAACTATTTAATGAAATCTAAGAATCTGAATTACACGCACTTTCCCAAATTCTTTTATCATCATGAAACTTGGCAATTATATGTAGATGAGATGACAATACAATATAATGGTACCATCGAGATTCCAGCTGGACTGATGATGGAACTGGAAAGTGGCTGATGGAACCTTGGACTGCCAACTAGTAAACATATAGAGTTTGGGCTCATTAGATTCGCCTTAACACATTCTATTCATTTCTCCTGATGACGAGGACTTCACGATGAACTGGAAGGTGGCTAATGGACCCTGGACTTCCTACTAGTAAACATATCGAGTTTGGGCTTATTACATTCGTTTTCATATATTCTGTTTTTTAAACACGCTTTTATTAGGTCGTAACTATGTAATGGAATCTAAGGTAACTAATTATACCATCTTTCAAGGATCGTAGCGTAATGAAAATTGACAGCTGTATGTAGTACTGATGATAATACAATAATATGGTACTGTCGAACTGATCTGATAATGGAGCTGGTAGATATGAACTTGAACTTCTTGATGGAACATCGTATCATTGCTGTTTTTGGATTTCATAGAAAAGTCTTGTAATTAACTTTGATTGAGATTAGGTTTAAAGGTCTGATGATGAAGCTGGAAGATAGGCACTGGCATTCTATGTTGGAATATCGTATCATAGTCGTATGTATATTGAGTGTAAATAGTGTAAATATATAAATACTTTTCTAGTTTTTTTTTAACTATTAGCTGGATAGGCGTATGTGGCCTTAAGTACAGTAAAATCACTTAGTGATCTCCAGATTGAAGAGCTAGATTGTTCTAAGCTAACAGGTAAAACACTATGCAATACAGACGCACGGGCGGAGATGGAGAGGATGCAGACTCATTTGCCTACTTAAAACAAATGTATGAATATTAAAAATATTTCGTTATCAAAGACTAAAAAGTATAAAATAAATTAATAGAAAAAAAAACCAGTAAAACACGCTTTAATAAATGAATGTAAAAACCAAAAATTAATTATGGATCGTTCCATATATCGCTATTTCTGGGCTGAAGTTTAAACTATGTGCTCTTAATTATAATATTTGATTGTATAAGCGTAGGGGTGGGGCGCTGGGAAAGGAAAGACTTTTTATATAACTTGCTGAGAAATGTTTCGGGAAGCAGGTTACACAGAATTGCGCTTGAGTAACATAGTTGCAGCACGACTAGTATTCCCTTAGATATTCTATTCATTATAATGATGAATATCGCATTACTAATATCTTGATTTCTTAGAAAATTATACAAAAACTCTTTCCTGTTCCAGCGCCCCACGCTTTTACAATCAACTATTATAATTAAGAGCACATAGTTTACACTTCAGCCCATTAATAGCGACAATTTGAACGATCCATAGGTAATTTATTTTTGGTTTTTACGTGCATTAATAAAAGCGTGTTTTTCTAGTTTTTTTATTAACTAATGATTTATTAAGTAGTAATTCATCTAAATTAACGCATTATTATAATTGCAACCATTTACTTTATTCAAAACCAGATTTCAATGGCGTTGGAACTCTAAATGAGGCCATGAGTAGATCTTGTTGTTTTGTTTCAATGCGTAATTATAATAACATAAAATTGCTTTATATTTTACGAGTCACCTGTTTTGATTCAAGGTTTATTATAATAATCTACATTATCTACTGACCACTGTATGAAAGAAAAACATTTTATGTTTTATTTTTACTAACTGCTTAAGTAATATTATTAAGTACATACCTAAAAAAATAAGAACTGAGTACTTTATGATATTCAACAACCTAAAATTTAAGGTTCCAATCATAATCATAATCTTTATTTGCTAAAAACACGATAAATAGGTTTTACATAAAGTGGTTTGAGCAGGTGTTTTGCCATTTTAAAAATAGCATGCAAATACATAATAAGGAACCAATAAAAATAGAGATTAATTAATTATAACATTTTTCTGTAGAATTATGAATGTTATCGAACAAACTTGTCTTATAGAATTTTATGATTTCCCCCAAAGTGATTCCCTAAAATGATACGATTTCGAAAAGAAAAAAAAGTTAGCATTTTTACTATACACAGTCAGGTTATAAGTATTGGCACACAGTAAAAACTTTGCTTTTAGAATACTGGCCACAAAAAAGTTTATTGAATCCAAATTCGAATTGTTCATGAAAATAAAAATGTATACTTTTTAGAATTTTACTCATTTTTAAATATGGAGTGGATGTTTAAAGAAGACCGTGTTGCAGTTATTGAGTTGCATCGTTGCGGTTACGCGCCAATTAAAATTTTTGACATACTGAAAAATTTGAATATAACCAAAAGATTCGTTTATCGTACCATCAAACGATACAATGAAGATCGTTTGATGGTACGATAAACGAATAGATAAACTCCATTGTCAAGAAGTGGTCGCCCTCGGTCTGTTAGGACTCCAGCAGTGATAAAAGCTGTGAAGGCGCGAATTCAAAGAAATCCCAAACGTAAGCAGAAACTGTTGGCCCTTCAGATGGGGCTAAGCAGAACCACGGTGAAAAGGGTGTTCAATGAAGACTTAGGGCTTCGGGCATATCGAAGAAAAACAGGACATTTGAATGCTCGTCTAATGGACCTGAGACTGAAGAGATGCCGCGCTTTGTTGAAGCGGTATGCGGGAAAAAATATCGGAAAATTCTTTTTTCGGATGAAAAAAATTTCATTTTAAAATTAAAATTTGCAATATTTTATTAGACGCGATAAATTGATTCGGGTCCACCGTTTCAAGAGAATCACCACTGCTGAGTATTTGTATACAGTAAGTAGCAGAAGCCATATCAATTAAAAATGCATTGTAAAAAATTTAGTACATATTTCTGTTTCAGATACCTACTTGAATTGGAGAATTATTTATGGACGTTTTTGTCATGTTACAAAAATGGAAGAAAAGCAACACGTTGCTAGATAATACCAGAATATGGTTACTCCTATTATATGTAACCAAAATATTCTTAGAAATGGTAAAGATTGTTACAATGAGATGTTCCATTTGAATAGATTAATAAAATACACACATGTATAAGATAAGATAATAACTCTTTATTGCACGACACAATAACAAAACAAGCAGATGCAAAACAAGTAGAAAAATACAACATTGCACAAAGGGCGGTCTTATCGCTAATGAGCGATTTCTTCCAGACAACCCAATGAGCTGGAAATATAATAAGGTAAGCGAGTAAGGGAGGTGGTGCGGAACAAAGGCAAAAGTTTTCCTGATAATTAGATAAGAAGAAGCCGAAAGGAAAAAAAGAATAAAAAAAAACAATACAATAAGAGAAACTTTAATATATAGGCAAACATAAATACTCAAATACTTCACAACGCTACCGAAACCGGTAAGTTCTAATGCAAGATTTATGAAAAATTAAGTTCCTGTATTTTAATTGTTATACAAACCTGTTCTAGAAAATAGGTAATGGATTAAAATAACATTATTTTTCTAGTATTTTGCTAAATGAAGGCCATTTCGAGTTATTTACTTAAGTACATGTAGCTCGATTAAGTAGTTTATAAAATTGCCTTCACTTTGCATAATACTAGAAAAAGTATCTTATTTAAACCATAACCTGTCATATGCATGAGTACATCAACAAGTATCCTTAGTAGATATCTTAATAAGTACTTTGGCAAACTTACCATGACCTTCATTGAATCAAGTTATCTTTATTTATTATTTGATTAAGTGTAATAATCAAATTAAAAAAAGACTACACTGAAATGAATAATTTACCATTGTTCAAACCACTATTATCTTAGTTAATGGCAACTAAGTGATTAGGTTAAATAAAGTAATATATTCTTTAATCAGAAGAAATCTAAATATTCAAATTAGACAAGACTTAACTGAAATGAATAGAACTACCATTGTCCGGCCATCTATTATCTTAGATCGTGGCTAGTAAGTGATTTGGTAGAATGTAGTAGTAATATTCTTTGATTTGAAGAAGTTTCTTAATCATATTAGACAAGAATGTTAGCTGATATTATTGAAGGATTACTTAAATCAACAATAGAACTTTATTAATGTAATAAATTTGCATGTTTGTCCTAAATAAGACATTGATGCAACTAACTAATCTTTTTAGGCCAGCACTTCGCAGGTGTAACTAATATAATTTAACAAAGGTCATGTACTTGAAAGGCTCATGTGAATTGATGATATATTATTGAAATAAATAAAATCTTGATTGAAGTATACAAATTTTGAAGTGAAAATTTCTTAAGTAATGTGGTTGTGACTTAAG